CCGTTTCTTTTGCTAACGCGTAATTTTTAAATGTGACAAGCGTGTTTGCGTGCGCGCGGCGGAGATGCACCGCCGCCGCCGCCGCCGCCGCGATCCGATGGAAATGAATTAATTAAACAGTATTCAGACGTCGATTCGTCTTTCGGCGCGAACTTTGCGCCGTTAGTCAATTTCGCGAAGAGGAGCGGCCTCGCGAAATGCGAAAGCTCATTCCGGTGAAGAAGTTCGAAAGGAAAGATATGTGTTCCCGACACATTTGTTTCGCCGAACTTGGCGAGTTCTACTCCTCGTCTCCCGTCGTAAAGATATATTATTCATGAAGCTAGAGAATATTTTTAGGCGGCACCCCATGCCATCCATAAGTCATAACATACCATATACTTTGCGCGCGCGGATTCATTTGTCTTTACGAGTGCCTTGAATCGTAAAGTTACTTTATGATTCATACACACAGGAACGAAGCACGAAGCACGGTACGTTTGCGGTACCCGCGAACTGAAAGAATTTAATTGAGACGTAATACAGTTTCATAGGAATGGAAGATAAATAAAATGTAAATTGGCGCGGATACACTTCATGAAAATGTATATAGTGTGCACAAATGTACAGAGTGATCGGAGAAACTCTGCGAATTTTATGAAAGTTTGAAATAAAATATATATCTGTAGGTAAAACATATATATGTGTGCGTGTGTGTGTGTGTGTGTGTGGGTGATTAAATTTATGTATAAATTGGTTGAAAGCTCGTAATATTATGCTTTCGCATAACAAATCGACGTGTAATTATGGATGCTTATATATGAGATTTTATCTCGCTCTCTTGAACACGATGCACCAATCCACGCTCGCGTATAAATAAAAGCACCGGCGGACGCGCTTTGTAACGGAAATCAATTCGCAATTTATGATTAAATCGAGTCAATTAAGAAGATTAAATGTTCTTATAATAAGACATGCATTACACTGAAAAGTGTCTCAGTAATTATATTTAAATCGAGATTAAAATATGTATATCTTTTTCACATATAGGACAAGAAAATTGATAAAATAAAGTATCGATCTCTTAACGATAATGACTTTTTTGTTAGATAATAAAAATAAAAATGTCTCACATGCATTCTGTGGTGAACTTATCGGAACACATCACGTGTATTAACATGCGAATCTCGTTTACCCAAAAGTCGTTTATTCGCGTGTAAGATCGAGCTCGATGGGAACTCATTGTCCTTCGTGCGATCCATCGGATTTAATTGTAGCTCATTGTAACTTCAACTTTAGAAAGTTGCACTCGCGGCGAATGGCGGAATATTCGCGTTGCATTTATTGCCGCGTTCCGACGACCTTCGTGGTCGAAGTTCGCCGATCGACTGACGAGAAACTCCGGAGTACTGTCTCTTCCAACCAGGGATCAACGACCATATAGATATATGTTTTATACGTACATTCACACACACACACACACACATATATATATATATATATATATATATATATATACATACATGTGCAGAAAATTACAATCCCGGTTTATCAAGGCATTAAAAAAAAAAAAATATATATATATATATGTTTTAAATTATAATACATATATATAATTATATAACTGAACATACATAAAATCTATTACTGAAGAATTATACATATACATATATATATATATATATAATTCTTAAATTAAGAATTAACTTTTGCTGAACAGATCTTAAATTTCTGTATATAATTTATAGTATATTACTATAATCACGATAAGATCGTTTTATGATTAACCATCGATTTTATTAATTAAAAATTCTTTAAATTGTTTTCTGCAAAGTTTTTCTTTTTACGAAATTATATAAAATACATTTTTGGGGCTTCCTTAATCGAACGTGCTAATCACAAGACTGAAAAAGCGAATTACATTGACATATTAAATGGATTAAGCAACTACAAATTATCATGTTATAGTTTGAAAGGTGGGCTGGCCGTTATTGTTATCTCACCATAGTATTATAGCATAAAGACTTTAATTATGCGTAGGTGCAAGCTTTTATCGAAGTTTTTAATTAATTTTAGCTCGTGTTAATACATGCATGTAATCAGCTAATCGATGCCTTTGTTTGCGAGAGTGTGTGGATGCTTAAACTTTTGAAAAACTATCGTTTAATTAATTTGATAATGTTCATGTAATATGTAGGTTAAAAAAAACTTAAAACGTAATTTATTGATAAATTAAAATTTTATAAATAATTTTATTGATTTTATTGTTCATGTAATATTCAGATTTAAAAAAAATTAAAACGTAATTTATTGATAAATGAAAATTTTACAAATAATTTTATTGATGTTATTGAAAATAATTTTACAACCAAAAGGAATAATAAGAGAAAATAAATGTACATAAATATTCACTATATCTTTTATTTGAGAGAATGCAGAATTTTTTAAGATTATTATATTATATGAAGTATAAAATATAATTAATGTATGTATAATTGTAACAATTATATATACATTAATTATATTTTATACTCCATATAATATAATCTTAAAAACTGTTCTGCATTCTCTCAAATAAAAGATACAGTGAATATTTTTATGTACATTTATTTTCTTATTATTCAAATTTATAAACCATATTATAAGAATTAACATAAAATGTTTAATATACAAATAATAGCAGACAGATGATACTTACGATAATGCTTGTGCGGCGGGAGGCTTCGCCTCCTCCAGCCGCTCGCAGTTTTTGTACCTATGGTTATCGGTGATTCGCAAAAAAATCCTCACAACTTGCGCCGTGCCAGTTCTCGTTAATTCCGGCACAATTTCATTGTTTGAGCCTTCTAATATGTAGTTAAGACGAACGCAATTCTGTCAATTACTAATCACGTGCGATTGTACTTTTCTCTTTTTTTTCCCCCGCTCTCTCTCTATCTGTAGCCTCGGTACATCGGGTATATCATTAAATGAATTCCCTTTGTTAAAAATTATCTCGCTTTATTCTAGCTTTTACAATCTAAGAACCAGCTGTCGTTCAGTCTCGTTGGCTAGGACTACGAATAAAATGGCTGAGATTCATTGTCCGTCGGGTGTTTTCTTCGTTCCACTAATCAAACAGCAATCTCGGATTCGATTTCATCTCCCTCATATCCTCCCCGGGGACGTCTATTGTAGCCGATTACTTTATAGGCGTATTACGTAACTCGTACCTCACGTACACGTGTATCGATGTCCCGCAGTATCGAACGTCCGATCATACTGATCGATTTGTTATTCTTCAAGTATTGTAAAGCTGGGGATCGTAACCGGCGTGACCTGCATTCCCGATGCCTCGCGCGACGAGAGAAAATCCATTGCTAATGAAAAATTTGATTCGCGGATAAGTACAGCGATCGTTTTGGCGTTATCAATGAGATCGAGGTCTGAAACGCGCCCCCTCCCCCCTCCCCGCGGGATTGCGCGCCGATTTTGATTGTTAGCAATTATTCTAGATTGTACTTCGTTGATTGGCAACCGATTCGCTTCGTGATCGGCCGATCTCTTTCGATCCTCGATCCTCGGGATGTCTTCCGATTGCGCACGCCTACAGCTCGGCTGTAGATCCAAGCCATTAGCTGCACTCGGATTCGGCGAACGCATGCGTCTCAGGTAGCTTCAGCTGTCGGTCGTCGTCGCATTATTATCGCTTTTCTTTGATATTTACAATCGACGATGTGACGAGATGAGGGACGCGAAGTGAAGGACAGTCGCGGCGTGCCAGAGACGCGCAGTCCACGCGTCAGTATTGCTTTTTACGCGTATTGCTTCTCGAGGAGAAACGATCTCTCGCGGTGTAGGGGGATGATCGTCACCGAGAGATTCGTCAACGAAGTTTCGCAGGCTCGACTTCGGGACCGTTCGATTTTACCGTCGACGGAGCCAGCGGCTGATCTCGCCTCGAGCACGGTCGGCGCATCCTCTCTCCGGCGGCGACGCGCGATCACAGAATCCCCTTTGGACCGCGAGGATCCCACACTCGGTCGCCGAGGGCTGACAGCGCTGACACTCGATTAACGATTACGCAATCGCGACGGACCGGCACCACGCGCACCGCAGGCGTGTCACTGTCACGAAACGACGGCGGCGCGAGAGTCCTCGTTTCAGGCAGCATCGCACACGAGAGCAACGCACGAGGTAGAGGCGTCTCGGGCGGCAGCACGGCATAGTTCATCCCCCGGACGATCGAAACTACCCCTAGGAGCGCACGGAGATGCTCGCGGTTTGCGCCTGCGTGCGAACCGCACCGCGCCAATTTCTCACTCGGCTAGTTAAACGCTTATTTTTACGAGCTCTTAACAAACGTTGTCTCGCCTCATCAAGATGTACAGGGTGTTTCTAGGTAGCGGATCATAGCTTTGCAGTATATTCTTGTCAGAAATATTCGCTAAGCTGAATAAAAAAAAATACTTATTATTAGTCAAAATAGGTTCACAAATTAATTTTTTTTAAGAATAAGTAGCGATTTTTTTTATAATATGAATTATTCATACATGTTTAGGTGTTTAAAGTATGTAAATAACGTAAAAAATAACATTTTTCTTTCGTATATTGGATACTCGTGTATTACATAGCCTACTTTAGACGATTCTTAATTCACCTCCGACTTCGAGATAGGATTTGTTTTGTAATTTTATTTGCTTTAATATGTAAATATTATAAATATTGATATGTAAATATTGCTTGTTGAAAGAGAATTGGTAAACAATTTGAAATGCATCAGAAATTAAAAAAAAAATAAAATCATTTAGTGACACGAATATATCTATTGATACGAAGATGTTAAATATGTATTAAATGGAAAATATACTGTAGCATGTCTCTTTTAAAGCTCACTTAAAATAATTTACATCTTGTATCATAATTCAGGATAAAATTTTATTTGTAATTTTATACTTTGTATATTTTATAAGCGTGTTTTTCTGATTCTCTAAATATTTTTGTGTTGACATGAAAATTCTGTGGCACATAAAATTTTAAATAGAATTCTATCATGGATTTCGACACAAGTTATAGATCGTTAAAGTTGGACTTAAAAAATTGAAATAATAAAATAATTTCGTGCAGTTGTCAACAATCTTATTTTCACAAACGATAAACGGCGAATAAAGTTAGTTCATACTATTGGAAAACAGAAAATTGTTTAAATGAATTTATTTACGTATATACATATATTAATTAAACGCTTTGTATCCAGTTCAGTAAATATTGCGAGTTATCAAAATTTTGGAACGCTCTGTGTATATACATCTCTCTACGCTTTACGTCAATATTTTATTATTAACGCTGGAAAAACATCTGGGGGGAGAGGCGCGCAGCCGCGCGTCTCTCGATTTATTTTGTATACTTCAGAGGTATTTATCGATATTTTTATGTTATGATATTTTTATATTAAGTTTTGATTAATAGTAAAGAAAAGAGAATATGACGAAAGAATGCAGTGCGAGAAGAAGGACCGTCCTTCGTCCACGATTCTCGAAGCGTTTCCACGGATAAGTGAGAGCGGCAGGGCGCGATCCTTCTTCATCCCTATACAATCCCATTTGTGCTAAGTTGCATTACTTGTGCACTTCACTCATAAATCACATTTATACAAAAATCGTTACTTTCTACGTGTCGGAAGAATCGCGCTCTCCAAAAGCAACGATCGAATCGAATTAAGGAGAAACTCGCGCGGTCTGTGCTGTAATTTATTAGATTTCGTGAGGCAAGACAATCCTTATTAGCGGTTACTAGAACACAAATGTGTATTTCGATGTGTCTTCTAAAACCTTTATTTTACACGGTGTTTTTGTAAGAGCACTCCCTGTAGCACTCGCAACTGTAGCAAATTCTTGCGACAGTTTCAACGCGAAGGACGATTTTTTTTCTTTTTGGTGAGATTACAATGTCGTATAGTTTTGTTAACGCCATAGTTTTCAGACAGGGCGATGAGAAAATTCGGAATATCCACTGAGCTGGAATTTATATGAACGTTTATATCAAGATTTTATTAAATAAATATAGTACAGCTTTACATAGAGAAAAACTATTTGATAATACTGTGACCTCATTAATTACTTGATCATATAGTAATGTACACATACGTTAATTATACATTAATGTCAAAGTAGATCGAGCTCGGATATCGCCAGACACGCTCGTATCCGCTTAAATTTATTCGCGTTGTTTTCCGCCTCACAGCATTCTTACAGTTTTTCCTTCGACGACACTTCCCGCTTTTGTCGAAGCGAAAGAATCAAAAATATCTCGCGTCGTCTCGTAAAACGATATCCGCGTCGATGATACATAATTATATTATATTATAACGGTTAAAATGAGCAACCAGGCACGGTGCAGATATTTCCTCTTGGACATCTTCTTAGGTGACGAAATATTATTTTACTAAAGACACCGAGAAATGTTACGAAATATAAAAAACGAGGTACATTAGGTATACGTCTATCCACGCTCACGTGGTTACGTATAATGAAAATATATGTATATATATATATTTATTTATTTATTTATATATGCATTTATATATATCTTATTCTCTATATTTATTAGATCCAACCGTTCGATAATCGTATCATATAGTAATTGACGTACCACATCAATTGTGTCGCTCATTGAATAAAGAATATCACGAAGGGGCATATTGTAATATTACTAGATGTTACTAGATTGCGTTGAATTAATTTTATGACGTATAATAAGGTCACACAAAAGAGTCTATTACGTTTCTGTTTTTAAAACAACAGCGATAAAGAAGTGGTAATCTGTTCGATATATGTATCGACTGACATAATACACGTTATAAAACTTCTAGTTCGACCCATAAATATAAATAATCTCATTTGGTTTACTTTTATGACGAATCTGTCGCATCGAAAACGCGACATGCTCCTTTCTGATATTCTTAATACAATAGTGTCCGCGCTTCTCTCATCGAGAAGCAAGGCGCTAACACTTTCCGTTCTTAACGCGGCGAGAAAATTTGTTATGTATCTCGTGACGGATTCGTAGCTGTTCCATCATTAATCACTATTCGTTGACTGACAAATTTTTTTCTAAGCCCTTCGAATGCGCGATAAAAAAACAAAGACTGTTTGTCCCTGTTGTAAAATTAAGTGACAATAAATAGGGAGATCAATAAATCATTTGAGAATGCACTTTCTACGCTGAAGGGCGTGGAACTGTAAATTTTATTATGAATCAATGATAGCAGAAAGAGAAGAGAAGAGAGAGAGAGAGAGAGAGAGAGAGAGGGAGAGGGAGGGAGAGAGAGAGGGAGAGAGAGAGAAAGAGAGAAAAGAAGGGGAAAAAGAAGAAGGAAATTCATTTAAAGTTTGCGAGTTCCGTGAAATTAAAATGATATCTAAATGGCAATGTCCACAATCTGACACTTAATAGAACGTAAGGAACGTAAGGAATAAAAAAAATTGGCGTGCATCAGTGATTACTTTGTAAACTATTGCCTATTTGCGTACAACGACAAAGCGTGCCACCTACGAAAATTTAACGTTACGATTCGGCGTCCACTAAAAAAAAAAAAATATGTATAATATCATTGTAAGATACGATTATATTATATCTTATATTTACACGTTATTCGGACGCTTCGTCAAATGTACACGCGCCGCGTTTAATCCCTTCCCGCTACATGTGATTTTTAAAATATATAGGCTGTCCGAGAGTATAACAACGCGATTGCTGGACGACGCTCGAAACAAACCCTCTCCCGCGTCCGTTCGTTAATGTACGGTTCCATTATCGATTGTACGACAATAGTAGTACAAGCCCGCCGCAAAGTACACCTCGATTCTCATTAGCGTATATCTTCCCCGTTTAAGCAGTACGACTTATAATTAACGTGCATGAAAATGAATTGCGACGAGTGTGTTTTCATTGCCGTTATCTCTTACTTGTCGCTATATGCACAATAAAGTGGAGAGAAAAATTATACAGAGAGCTATGCACTAAAATTTACATTTTAACGAAGGAAAGTGCTCCTTTTGAACGCTCGTTAATCTGGATAACAATAATAATAATAATAATAACAAAAAAGGAAAGGATTGCATTTAAGCAGAAAATTGCAGACTGCCTTATCGCTTATCGATCTCTTAAGTAACAGTAAAAATAATTTCTATCATTTTCATATCGTTCTCGCTTAAACTCGATATTGCGACATGTAGCCTCCCAGCTGATTGTTCAATCCGTGTTTCTCAATACTTTTTGCTACGCGCCAGTAGAAACGCGAGATTCTTCCCGCGCGAATCTTCACGACACGAATGCTCCATTTGGTCCCTTGTAAATACGTTAAAAAATATAATCTCGCACAGCCGTGTGCAACGCGAGAGACAACGCATTCGTATCTGGAGCCGAACGTTCACTTCAGTTGCACCAACACCATGAAGTAAGTCACCACGGCTCCCAGTACCTGAAATTTGTAGAAGGTTGTTAATTACGTTATTCTGTCTATAATTAACAGATAATTGAACGGAATTCTCTTGATTTCGCTATAATAATTGAGCGCGAGGGAAAATTCACACTTAGAGATGGAATCGAAATCAAGACTTACCGAAGCGAAGAGATCTAAGGACACCGTGAAGAACTTCGCCCCCGATATTGACATAGCTTTCTGACACTGCTGACACACGATCTGCACGAATGTCTTAGCTTCCTCCGATCCATCGTACCAGTGGCAAGAGTAAGCCGCCTCCATCACCGAGGTGCTCTGAAGAAGGATAGGATTTTTATTACCTCGTATTTTATGCAAAATTGCTATTTTTAAAAAATAGTTAATTTTTTTAAAATCAAATATTTAAAGCCGAAGTTTTAGATCTCTTGCGAACTTCGTGCGTGCGCATACCTCTTCAATCAGGCGATTTCCGAATATGCAGAACAAAAAGACTTGGCCAAACGTGTAGAGGACGTAGCCGATCGTGGAGGCCGCGTATACATTTATACCGTTCACCTGTAGCATTTAAAACTCGTGGATATTAGTATGAATACTTAATTCTTGATATGTTCGAGTTAGCATTAACCCCCCTATCGATTTCGCATTACTTGCTTAACTAATTTATACGGTCGATAAGTCATTTGTTCGGGACCTTGAAAAAGGAGCCTGATGGCCATCTGGCAGCGCGCTACTCACCTTCGTCGCCTGGTAGGCGAGCAGCGTTAACGTGATGGTCGTCGTCAACATGTGGAGCAGAAGCGCGAAACCGTACGCATCGCCGACCGCGGTGACCAATCTGCACATTCGAGAGCAACGGCGTATTATTAATTAATATCTATAAATTCTGCACCGTTCGCTAAAGGAACGACTCGAACTTGTCTATATCGGTCGACTTATGCCGGACGTTAAAAGCGTACATTGATGGGCGACTCATGAAAAATATATTTCGTAATACCCGTTCTTTCATTCCATATAGGTACCTACGCCACCCTTGATTTTCATACTAAACTACATGATTAGAACAAAGTTGAACGACGACAGACGAATATTCACTTCCGTTTCGCCACGTATATCATCCTATTTCGTCGACCGTTCGTCGAGTTAACACTGTGCCCCTCCTCCCCCCCTCCGTCACCAGTAAGTGAATGATCGATACGTCGAAACGCCTTGAAGAAAAAAAAAACGCGATGGTCTGTGTAGCGTCGCACCGGGTTGCAAGTGTCACCGTCGTGCGAAAAGTCAGATCTGCAAAATTCCACGGGAACGTCGAACATAATTTCGCAGTAGTGCCCCGCACGCCAAAAAATGACTTAGTAATAGTAGTTAAATTTCAATAGCTGAATCAAACTTAACTATAAGAGCTACCGCCTTAGTGTCATTAAGTTCTGACTATTACAGATAAGAAACATTCACTGTGACAAAAAAATTTATTAACTGAAATTAAAAGCACATATATTAGTACAGGCAGCTAAAAAGATGGCATGCGTGCCTAAATGTCTTATCATGCACACATTTAGCACACAGAGTTAAGTTTATAGCTACGCGCGAAGATTGATTTGATTTGTAATTGTTTTTGCAATGTGACACTGCCATGTGCACATCTACATTTAGCATTTATATTTTGCATTTTATATATACTGCAAATATTGTTATTCTATTGCAAAGATAAAATAGCATAGTAGATTCGGCTAAATATTATTTGATTTTAGCAGCAAATATTTTTTGCTGCAGCAACTACATTTTAATAAATTGAACTTTGGCAGCAACGACATTAGCTGTCCCTATTTTAACGACACATCTTAACTACCATAGCTACATTTTAGCTTCATTGGCTAATCCTTTTTCTGCGTGCGTGGAAATTTTTTGAAATTCCAGAATCGCGGAATATCCAGCGCGATATATAGTCCGCGCGCTATGTGGAGACGCTTCATCCCCTTAGACTACTTACGCGTAGGACATGACCTCCGTTGCGGTCAATATCTTTTACCTCTTCAATATCGCGTATAGGTGATAATACGAGCCTCTACAGTTTGAATAATAATGACAGTCATATAACGATTTTCGGGTCAATCCGCCGGCCTCTGCTACGATCGACAAGAATGAGCGAAAAGATTTGAAATTGAAATAAAACAGGGGCTCCAGAAGAAATTTCACGAGCTCGCGTACTTTTGATGAGATACGTATAGTTTCACGCTATATGTATAATATGTATAAATCGCAAGATAGTATATTTTAATTTTTAATAAAAGAAAAAAGAAACGTACACGTTAAAGAAACCCGCACGGGAACCCTTTACCGATAAAATTGGCTGTCGTGCGCGCGTGAACGATCCGTCCAATCGTATGGCACTTGCTGCACGGGGGGTGTGAAAACACGTGTCCACCAGGGCGCGACCCGTGGGCGAAAATCTGTCATCATGCGTGCGTTGGCGTTAGGTGAACCACGTGTGCGCACGTTACGCGCACGTGAATCCGCCGCGTCGAATATCCCGTCCCCCCATTGAGTCGCGCAGTCCGTACAACACGCACGACCCCCGTTGCGGTCAATATCGCGCTTTCTTAGAATTAATACTTCAGCACCGTGGGAATACGCGCATCCCGTGCCAGTCGACGAGTGGCTTCGGCAGCCCCCCGCGAACCTACAGGAACACGGCATCCGTTCGCACCGTTTCTCGCGAAAAAAAAAATTTTTCCCCCGAGGAGCAATCGATCTCGCTGCCGATCGCATTCCGCATATTCGAAGTTTTACGACGTACGTCGCTATTTGAAATAAAATAACGTTTTTCAAGTAGAATTATTCACGTTATAAAATGGTATTTCTCTAAAATGTTGAAAATTGAATTGTTTTATTTATCTGTTTATTTTTGAAGGAACTGTAGCCTATTCGAAATTGGAAATGAGATAACATCGGTTTTTTATTAATTAAGAAAAATTGTTTTACTCGATTTAAAACGTGTATAATTTCTCCTGATAATTAACGCGAATTTCAATTAATATTGTTAAAGTATTAACGAAAAGTTATATATCCGTTAGTATAAAAATGAAATTGTTCCAGAAATATATTTATCATCTTATTTATGATTGGCTTCCTCTTAGTGATTTCTGCAATTTTTTGAACAGTATGGATTTTACACAAATATGAATGCGCATATAGTGATATTCGCAACAACAGCCACTGATGACTTTTCATTTAATACAACGTTAAACTTTAATTAATAAATAATATGAAATTATCGGTAAAAATAGTAGGAATTTAAACAGCGATGTAGATCGTAATAATTGCTCTGCTTTATGTGCTGGAATATAATGTCTGGATATTTCTAAAGTTCATATATTTTCCTTTCATTTCTTCCTATGATCAAAATTGCGAAGCTATTATTTCATTCGCGGTACCAGATATTAATATGTTAACACGATATAAAATTATTTTTTCCCCCCATTATTACGTATTAAATAATTAACATTAAGTGTGTGTCTTGAAGAGAGAAATGGTATTTGAAATGGCGTTCATCCTAAAATATTTACGACCCCGATGTTTGGCCGTACGCAACTTTGTCATGCGCGCCTCTTAATAATTGAGAGAGTAGTTAGCGCGTCTCTCTCTCTCTCTTTCTCTCTCTCTCTCTCTCTCTCTCTTCATGGGGTCAATATAATGCCGACTATATACTAAATACTTTACACGCCTTTAAGCGTGTTATACGGGATTATTCTGGGTCACTAGTTCACACAAGATGCAGATGACTTTCAAAGAAATGGTCCCGTCGCTCGCTGGTGTAGGAGCCGCATGAATTAACTATACGTCTTCAGTGGGTAAGTAGAGCACGGCGGGAGGGCGGTCTCGCATCTCTCGTCACGGTATTCGATACTGAATCTTTTATCTCACGGTCTTGATGATTCACAATCTTGCCGACCTCCCTTCAGCGAGAAAAGCTAATCCCATTTCGCGGCATTCGCGAGTACGAGATCGTCGGATTTGCGCGAGTCGTGCGGCGGTAATCTAACAGAATTGAACCCACCTGACGATATGCTTGTGTCTCTCCACCCAGTACTTGATGGCACTCCTGACGAGCATCTCTTGCTTCTTCGTCAATCCGTTCGGTCCCACGCCACCGTTGAAGTTCATGCCAGCGGTCGGCCGGAAGGTCGCCGTGAAATCCTGCCGATTGCTGTATATGTTACGAAGATCGAGGTCCAGCATGTTGTCGCCTTGGTTGGCCGCCGGTGGTGGTGGCTGATTGTTCTCGTTCGATTCACGAAGGTGATCCCCGCTACCGGCCTACACGCACAAGAAAATCTCGTTGACCTGATGAAGACTTGAGGGAAGTTTCAATTTTCCGGAAATTTGCCTAGATCTTTGCGTCGTTTACTAATTGGTTATTTTTTTGTAAATACTTTAAATGATAAAAATTGCTTGTCAAGCCAATGTAAAATAAAAATGGAATTATTCTGGCCGAAATTAGCTTCTCAAAAAATCTAATTTTAGATATAAAAAAGAAACAGAGAAACATATAGATTGAATTTGGAATAGGGAATAAAATTGATATTGAGATCAATATCTGTGGACGTTGAAATTCGACAGACCTTGAAGAGTTCACTGCTGTTCGGAACCACTGTGTCCAAAGTCGCGCTCAATTCCATGAGGGGTTTCATAATCTGTTTCAGGTGCTGCAACTGTTCGCAGGCGAACAATAGCCACGAGCAGAAGAGAACATCCAACGAATTGGCATTAATAAGCATGAAGATCACCCAATATAATTGATACACGAGTATTAGTATATGCGTTACTCCCTTGCTGGCATCGAACGGATAGTATGAACGGACCAACAATTGCGGTAACTAAATCATAAGACAATTTTTTTTATGTATAACAAAGTGGCATTAATTTTACAATACAATAAATATACACGCCAAAAAATGATTTAGTAATAGTAGCTAAATTTCAATAGCTGAATCAAACTTAGCTGTAAGAGCTACCGCCTTAGTGTCATTGCTAAGCTCTGTCTATTAAAAGCATTCACTATGACAAAAAATTTATTAACTAAAAGTAAAAGCATTTATTAGTGCAGGCAGCTAAAAAAATGGCATGCGTATACCTATAAAATGTTTTATCATGCACATATTTAGCACACAGAGTTAAGTTTATAGCTACGCGCAAAAAGTTGATTTGTAATTGTTTTTGCAATGTGGCACTGCCATATGCACATCTACATTTAGCATTTATATTTTGCAGTATATAAGCTATATACTGCAAATATTATTATTCTATTGCGAAGATAAAATAGTATAATAGATTTGGCTAAATATTATTTAATTTTAGCAGCAAATATATTTTGCTGTAGTACTTATATTTTAATAACTAATAAATAGAACTTCGACGGCAACGAAATTAGCTGTCCCTATTTTAACACATTTTAGCTGCCATAGCTATATTTTAGCTTCATTGGCTAATCCTTTTTCTGCGTGTAGTGCATATAAATATTGTGCAAATTAAAAAAGAAAAGAGAGATATGTGAAGATATCTGAATTACACATAACTTGTCCTAATTATATATTATAATTTAATTATAATTTTATTATTTTAATTATATTATATATTATAATTTAAGAACAAAAAGCGATAACAAAAATAATTTTGTCCTAAATCATTTATAAATAATTTTGTCTTAAAACTGTCCAGTTTCAATAATTTTTAATTTTCTTTACTGGGCAAAAATAATATATTTTATATTTTATATAAGTTCGAATTGTTACCTCAGTAATTGTCGTCTCGTTCGTGATTGGATCCACGGATTTTCTAATCGGGTGCTCGAAGAAGGTCAGAGTGGTCCAAGCGACCGCGGCGAGAATGGTGGTGCCGCCGACCAAGAAGAGCAGCAGCCTCATCTTCTTCAGGGCGATCGCGTGGTATCTCGCATTGCTCTCGGCGAAGAGCGGATGGGAATTCGGATTGTTCCATATCGCCCACGTTCTGTAAAAGTACTTGCTCCTGATGGCGAAGTAAATGAGCTTGACGATGCTATGCGTGAAGAAGAGGAGGGTGATCGTGTTGGCCGTGAGATCGTCGACGTCGCCGGCCTCGAACATCAGATTCACCGCGCACAGACCGAATTGCAATAGCAGCAAGAATAGGTTCACCTATAGAAAAGATAGGTTTTTGCGATGTGCGCGTGTACGATCCGGATTAACAGCGTCGATTGTTAAAATAGACTGTCGAATATGTTGATGTCCAAAATATGTTATTACCAAAACTAAACTAAAGAATTTTACTAACTTCGGCTTCAATTTGATCAAACAGAGATTAAATTTTAGTAATTTTAATAATAAATTTTAATAAGTCAATACACGGAAAGAACGATTTTGTTGAAAGGTCTAAAAATTTTGCTAAAAACAGATCTGAAAAAAATTTTTTGTTGAATTATCAAAATAATTTGTTGAAATGTTAAAACTGATAAACATTGCTATAAAACGTTTTGATGTTCTAACAATCATTTTGACTTTGCCCAAAATTATTTTGATTATTGAACAAAAATTATTTTCAGATCTGGATTCAGCAAAATTGTTCTTTCCGTATGTTCGTGTATGATTTGGCGCAAAATATTACGCTACAAGTATTGTAATGCTGAAACTCGTGATTACTTACGCAGCAGAACACTTTATGCAAGTACTTCGACGAATTGTCGTCGTAATAGTTGAATACGAAATGCCCGAAGATCTTCATGATCCTTATGTTGGGCATGAGATCGGCCACAAGGCCCTGTTGCTTCATCTTCATCATCTGCGAGCAAACGGCACGGCTCTGAGCATTGCCTTTATCGTGTGTAAAACTATCAAACGCGCGGAACTATCGTTAAAATTCGTTAGCAGATTTACATCTAGCGGCTGGTTGTGATTTGTGCACGACGCACGACCTGCATCATTAGTGTAACAAGGCCGTTATAGGCTACGCATAAAGTTGTGTAAATGAAACTTCCAGAAGCGCGTAACTTTTTTTTGCGTAGAACACATCGATTACACGTTTTACGCAATGTAAAATCGTAAAATATGTAAATCACAAATCATAAAAGACGCAAGCTTGATAAAATATTCGTTTATTTTTTAGGTAGCCTCTAGACTCCATTCCGATTTGCCGTTGTCACACGTTAAAAGGCGTAACAGAAGCTTGCTCTGTCTCTTCAGACATGCGCTGTATTTTCGTGCTTATGTAGATAAAATACTAAAGATACTCGAATCTTCTTCACGTCTTTCAGATAATTTTTGATCTCTCGCGTTTTCGTTTTGCTCGGAAAGAGACACTTTTGAGATAAGGGCAAAGTCCTACCTTGGTCGCTCTGACTATCCAAGATCACGGGTGTCCAAGAAGCGAAGAATTTGGTCGGAACTCCGCGGCCAATTTACGACGCGGCCTTCAGCGCCTCGCGATTACGTTGCAGCAATCGTGCCAGATATATCAGAAGAACGAAGAACAGTAAACTAACTAGCCGGCCTGCCATCAGTCGTCGTTTTGTAACTCGTTTTGCGACACGTCGCGAACACGATTTCCCGTCTCTCCGGCCGAGGCCCAAGTACCCTCTGCTTCTGCCCTCTCGCTCCAACCCCCGGTTATGACCTGACCGCCACCACTACCCCGCCGGTGGGGAGCCCCTTCCAACGGGGTAGGTACCAAACGTGGACCAATCGGGGCCCGGTAACCAGGCGCAGACCGCTTCGTCGCGCTGCGCGACGTTCCTCCGACGCCATGTCGCTTCTTACGCCGTCCCCGAGTTGCACACACGGGGGTCTATAATCTTCTTAATAATTCAGCACGCCGCCGCCGTGCTCCGTGTAGTTTTCAACGTAAAGAAAGTTTCGCCGAAGAAAACAGTCTGAAGTCCCAAGATGCCTAGAGCAGGGGGGTTAGCAACTGGTGAAACGAAGCTTCCGCTAAGATCGCCGTATCGGCGCGTGATGTTCGATTTTCCGGATATTTTTCTAGAACACTTTGCGAGCCGCGCGACCCTCATTACGATTCTCTCGCCAGTATTTGCAATTATTAGGTGGAAAATAATGCTTCTTCTCGAGTCGCCGTTTCACGATGGTATTAATGTTTAAATAAAAAGTATAGGTTTGCACATTAACTGTAAGATCTACGAATTATGAGGCTGTCCTTTCTATCATAGATGCAAAGTCCATGTTTTTCCAAAATATTCCCACTTTTAATTGTTATATATACTTTACGTATGAATTTTATATATCTTGAGAATAAAATTGAATGAATCTGGCATTTTTTTTATTAATATGTAGAATGAAATAATCAGAGCATAATTTTGATTTGATAGATTTCGGAGTCTCAATTTTCTCTCCGATAAATTTTGCGAAAGATCGCTCTTTTAATAGGTACGTGGAATCTACGTTGAAAAATGTACGCAAATTCTTGCGAAGTTGCAATTTGCAAGCATACCATCATCACGTACGTAGGTGTTGGTCGATGAAAATAAATGATTTGTGCACATACGAAACGAATGACGTAAAACAAATAGTATAAATCGGATCGCGAGCGTAGTTTCAGAGAGTGACCTATGTAAAGTCTCAACAGTTAAATATGTCACGTATCGACTTAAAACAGGGGCCGCGCCGCAACTTAAAGGCACATGGATCGTACATAGTAACGAATCCTTCATTATTTAGGGCGACAGTCCTTACTACAGCGATATGACGACTTGCGACAGTTGGTTAATGATGCTACGTGCTGACACTACGGAAATTAGTAATAATTAGGTCAACTCTTATTATCGAGGAAGCATTCTACTTAATGACAGACATATATAATAGACACTTATTTAAAGCTATTATTTAAAACATGAAAGATATTTTTTGTTCGAATTCGTCGAGAAATAAAATAATTGGTGAAATGATCAGTGCATATTTTAATCTTATATATAAATCTAAACCCACGCAATAATGTAATAAATTGAAAAACTGCAAATTATGATATTTTGATCACCGCGTATTTTGATTTAGCGAAATAATTCTAGTGAAGAGAACTTCGTTCGAATTTTTAATCTCCTTTGCAGTCGTTCGGGCAACCGATTTTGTTGATTAGCGACAGCGCTATCTAATTGTTTTTTAGAAGAAAGACAAGGCGGACGTAGGAATTATTGAGATTGAACGACGATCCAGATTTAAACTTTTGTTCTCTAACGTTTCTATTAAAAGCCAACTGTGAGTCGATTATATACCGGTGAGCGATGTATTGCAGACACACGCGCGCGAGAGACAAGATAATTTAATTGTGTCATAATGAAAAATATTTAAATTGATTTTGTCAGCGGAAGTCATCATGTCACGTTCCGGTATCTTCGTTCTGGTGCTGTGGTCGCTAATGACGTGTTCCTTCGGATTTACGATGAATCGTTCAGGTACCGACCGCGTTCAACCTTCGTTTTCGTCCCCGCTTCGAAACTTGAATAGTCACGTTTGTTACTGTAATTGATGGCAAAGAAGAGCAAGATATTAATATTCTAGTGAATTATTTAGTTTCTGTCCTTTAGCATCATTCTTAATTATAGGCTCGCTATCTTACGTCATATTTCTACGCGCATATATAACATGTCTTCTTTTTTTTTTTTTTTCAAGAAAAATGTATACAAAATTTTATTTTAAAATTTACCCTAAAAATCATGTTAATCGCAGGACAACATAATATTTTGATGAATTTTATATAATTTTCACTATTTTTTAAAATATATATTACAACAAATTCAGGGACGGAAACTTCCTTATGGAGAGTATGGAGCTTTCTACACCCAAAGATCCCATGGGTGTGGAATTCCCTGAATTCGGGGTATTTAAAAAAAAAATTTTTAAATAATTATTTAAATGAGCTAGTTCTTGCGTGATAATCGAAATAAAATTAAAAGAAAAATATTCATATTTGTAAAGAAAAAATATGAAGAAGAAATTGAATATAGAAGTATAGAAATATATTTCGACATACAATAGAAGAAATAAAACATGTATGTTATTATCCCCCCCCCCCCCCGTTTAGATGAGATACTCCACACCCAGAAAATTCAAAAGTCCCGTCCCTGAACAAATTTATTGTAGTGTACAGTAAAATTTGTTGAAATACTATATTGTTCCATGATTAACAAAATTTTCAGGATAAATTTTAAAAGGAAATTCTCTCCGTGTACAGTCGTGGATACATCGATTGCGATACTTTTTTTTATAAGTTTTTAATATATATTTAATATACATAATATATACTTTACAGATAACTAATATTTTGCAAATGCGAACCACGATCAATAACAATAACATTCTCAGAATGACATATTTAAATATGATGCTGTACAATCATGAACACATCGGTTGCGATTTTCTTTTTTATTGGTTTCAAAACGCACTAATATTTTGCAAATCCGGACCACGATTGGTGTTATACTATCTTTAGTTTAGAGACAGTATAACACCAATCGTGGTCCGGATTTGCAAAATATTAATGCGTTTTGAAACCTATAAAAAATAAAGTGTCGCAACCGATGTGTTATTATACATATTGATTAATGAGTCACGATTCAATATAGTAGCGCACGTGCCGTCTACATGGGACACGGCACCGTCCCTGGACACTTACCAGAGAGTATTTGTCGACCCTACGTTGAAGGGCAAGATGCAAGTGACGGGCACGGACAGGATTTTGCAAACTGAAGATGCGAAAATATTGGAAAATATGTTGGAAAATCAGACGCGCGAGAAGAAATCAACAACCGAGAATACCGGGGCCGAGCTCATCAAGATGAAACCCATCGAAATAGCATCGGCAACGAGGAACGCTTCTGATTCCTCTGAAGAAAACGCTAATGCCATTATTACTCCTCGAAACGTCATTTTGCTTTTGATCGATGAAAGGGGCCAGGATGAGAAAAGAGAGGAAGATTCGTGGAGAGATTACACAGAAAGACTGCCCTTTGCAATTGATGGATTTCTTGAAGTACTCTCCCACAGTTACATTAATCATTTCTATGTCGAATAATTTGTCAAAAAATTGATCGCCTGCAATAGATTAATTTTTTCTATTATTTAAAACTCTTTACATTCAATAATTATAGAATAAATCCGCATTCTCTAACTAAAATATATTTAGGTATTTTTATGAAATATAATATTACAGAATGATTTAATTTTTGATAAAAATGTGATATTAGAGAAAATGAGTCTATGAAAAAATGGTCAAATAGTTTTCAGTTAAATTAAAGGAAAGAATTACAGAATTCAGTTTGCATAATTTTATTTTGTGTGTGTCATATAAAATTCTTTTTAACCTTATTACTTGCATTCAAATTCGACTTGTGTTGGATAAAATTTATATCGCAGAGTTGCCATGACAAGATCAAAAACGCTAATTTCTCCATGGTGAATGGATCTGTTTCTGAAGATAAAGAGAAAAGCTGCAATTGCGAGCGTGTCCTTCGCTCGAAAATCGAAGATTTATTAACCTGGGCGAGACAAACGAGAGGAATGATAATAGGTTTAAAATAGAAAAAATTTATTAAATTAAATATAAAAAGTTTAAGTATAAAAATCTCTTAAAATATTAAACATGAGAGAATGTTAAAAAAATATTTCCTATTAAAATATATAATGCATCTATTCTTTATGTTCATCACCAATTTTATTCGATTTTATGGAACAGGCGCAGTTTCCAGCAGCAATTTCTCGATCCCATTTCATCCTAGATACGAATTTAGTGGATCCAATGAAAGTAACGTAAAGGAGGAACTACATAAAAGCAAACGCGATTTCAATGACGGTTGGAAAGTGATCGATTTTAGCAACCGGGCAAAAGAAAATTCTGTTTCTCCTTTGATTACGGCAGATTCTAAAACAGGGGGTGAGTCACAAACAGATTTAATAAAGAAAAAAATAGTTTACACAAATATTCTAATGAAAACGAAAAGATATACTAATTAAATATACTAACAGATAACATTAATTAAGAATTGCGAAAAATAAGATAAAAGGCACAATAAAATAAATTTCAAGCAATACAAAAAAAACATGAAACATGTGAATTCTGGTAATTTCAACTATTCCAAATATAAGATATAAAATAATATTATTGGATAATTATTTTGATTATTTCTAACTAACAATTCTAAACATAAAATATGAAGTGGAAGTATAAGATAATAACTAGGAATAAAGCTAATATAAACCGATACTAGATGAAAGTGTGTTTAAAAATATATATTATTAGATAAATACAAAAATGTAGAATGTTTGACTCCTATTTGAGTCTTCTTCAGTACAATGAATGAAGATGGAAAGATATTCTTCCCTCTAATTAGGCAATTCGGAACTGACGGCGTTAAAATTGTAAGTCCTGTATATCTGTGTGAATCTGTTGTAAAACACACACCAAAAATAAAGATTCAAACCCAATAGATATTCCATTGTAAAATCTAAACAGACTGCTACAGATAATGATAAGATAAGTCTTGGAAAAATGACAAACATACCATTTTACCACTAGTTATCTTAATTTTAATCTACATCATTCTGTTCTGGTTAAATAATGGAATATCTATTGGTCTTTCCATCTTTATTTCTGGTGTGCGTTTTACAACAGATTTACACAGACGTGCACGATCTACAAATTTTAACGCCGTCAGTTCCGAAATGCCTAATTTAGAAGAGTTCTAATGACAAGGTATAACTCTCGGGTGAATTTGCCATTGCCTCCAAGAGGTAGCGATCAAATGAAAATCCGATATTTCAGATTTGAACTCGGATCTGCTCGGATTCTTCGACATAGAAAACAGACGCGCAACTCTTTGCGCCACGATCGCTACAGATTGTATTTTTTATTTATCTATCCTAGTAGCATTTTCTGCTGTTTTCTGTAGAGCAAAATCTGCATACAATTAATTGCAGCTGAATTCAACAATCTCCGTGCACGTGCAAATAAACTGTTTATAGTATATTGTTATCGACATCGAGCTATCTTGAAGCAGATTTTTCCCGTAACTGCAGTCTGTTAGCAGTTTGTCAGCAATCTGATATAAGATTCTTTCAGCAAAAGTAATGTGCAGATTTTGGCGAAAGAATGCTACAATTCTTGCAGCGGATTCTTCACATTTTATTCTGCTAGCAGGACGTTATATGATCTGCTTTCTCAGATTTACAGCAATCTTGGAGTGTAAATTGCTACTGGGATAATAATAATAATAATAATAATAATATATAATAGAATATATATATATATATATATTAGGGTGGACGAAAAAAATTTTTTTTTTAATCGATTAGTAAATCCTCCAAAAGTTAACTATGGATCTTTAATATAGTCTGGGTAAAATTTCATCAAAATCGATTAATATGTTCAGGTTGCCCTTTGACTTTGAAATTAGTAAGTTTATGTATTTCATACAAATTTTTAAGCAACTATGTGTTTTCTTTACACCAATTGATTCATCTCATTCTGTGCCTAAAATTATTAGGTATTATTATCAAGAAATTAATAGTTTACGAGATATTTCATATTATATATTGAAAATATTTTACGATCATTTTCATATTTTATTATGCCAAATAGCATAATAAAGTATAAAATATCTCGTAAAATATTGATTTTTCGATAACTTTACCTTAGTATTTTTATATGCAGAATAATTAGAGGAATCGTATTATGTAAAAAAATATATAATTCCGTTTAAAATAATCGATGTGATCTTGATCTAATCTTAACGACGCCACTTAAAATAAAATTAATGATATTTTCTTATGTACCTCCCCGAACCATACAATTTTTATTTGAAACATTTTTCCACATCTATCACTTTTTTCGAGAAATCTTAATGTATTATTTGAAGAATATATTTCGGATCTATCATTTTGAAATGTATACTTCTGACCTCGAATTCGTGTTCAGCGATAAAAAAAATAACAGGTAATACTAAACTGTATTGAAATTCAAATATTTTTTCGAATTTTGACATTTATGAAGAAATGCATAAACTTATTAACTACAAGGTCGAGAGGCAACCTGAAGATATTAATCGATTTCGATAAAATTTTACTCAAACCATATTGAGGCCCATAGCTAACTTTTGGAGGGTATTACTAATCAATTAAAAAAAAAAAATTTTTTTTCGTCCCACCCTAATATATATATGTTTTTAAACACACTTTCATCTGGTGTTGGCTTATATTAGCTTTATTTCTCGTTGTTGATTTATTTTATTTACTAAATATTTTGAATTTTCTTCTTATAAGATAATGTTCGATAACTTTTAATCAGCTTATAAAAAGAAACATGATGGAATATCTCGAAAAAAATGGAGAGGAAATAAATTTATCTTTTACAGAAGATATGAATTATGACGTTCCGTGGGACATTTTCGACGTGTTCTCTAAAATAAGAATGGCTTTCTTCCGTTCTCTGCTCGAATCGTTGCACAGGAACGGCGGCGCGTTCAAGGATGAACTTTCATCGCGCAAATCGTTCTCTCTCAAACCAACTGCAACCGATTTGATCGCGACTACTCTCAGGGAGCTGAAATCTGAATTTCCAAACGATAAGGGTTACATGTTAATCGCCGTCGCGCCGAAAAGCGAGGCAGCCGCCGCCGTCGAACTTCTTCAGCGCGAAGTAATATCGTTGCTTCATTGTCGTTAAAAAATATAAATCTAATTCACTCAAAATAACTTAGAGAAATGTAGTTTAGTAGGCTTTTTACTGGAACACCTTTCTAAATTAATTAATTAAATGCCGAAATGAAAGATATAAATATAATAAATGAATTATTAAAAAGTATTATAAAAACTCGTTTTTTGCATACGTTAATGAGCTCTCGATTTTTTTTTTAATCGATAAAGGCCTCTGAGAAGGACACTCTGCTGATTGTTACGCAAATCTGTGTCGGAGACCAAAGATCCGTTCCATTTGCTGCGCAAGGACCGAGCTTTCAAATTATTCGAGAAGCAAAAGTTATCGATGATCTACCAATTGCGATAAAAAAGGCAATAATTGCAAGTGATTGTCGTGATACCGGATGCAATCGACAAAAGCGCGACGTTTTGATTGTCTCACGGGTGCCGACCGACGGGATCTCTTCGCAAGAAATGCCATCGCGTAATCGAGTTATCAGAAACAAAAACGCTGAAAAACTGGTAAGGTGTGAACCACTTGTGTTTTAATAATAATTAATGACATCACTTTTAAATAACTGTGATAATGTCAAGTTTATTTCTTGATATTATTATTTATATTCAAAATTTATTGACATCGTATTCTCGAACGTATAATATTATAGCTCTTTAGCATATATAAATTATTTTACATCCTAAACCATAGATTGTATAAAATGTAATTAAATAGATTGCTAAATCATTAATTTTAATGATAAAATTATGTGTAAATGCTTTCTAAACGCCTGCAATATAAAAATAATAATTTTACATTAATTGTATTGTAAATGCCAAATGTGGAAATGCCAATCTAAAAATAATAATTTTACATTAATCGTATTCCATTTTGGTACAGAAAACGAATAAATTGAATGGCATTATATGTCAAAGTAGGTTTTTTTATTTGCGCAATATAGTTTATGCTTAATATATTCAATTGAGATACTTGAGTAAAAATAGCTTGAAATTTTTTAAACACTCTGATCTGGAGATATATTGATCTTGAATATAAAAACAATTGTTATCTTCTGTTTAGAGCACCATAAATTCTGAAGAAACAACTACTAAGATAGAGATACAAGCCAGCAGTTCGGCCTCAATGAAGACTTGTGGCCTCGCTACAGTGTTCGGTGTCATGATCACGATCTTCGCCAAGGCCACATTTTCTTAAATGTAGAAGACATAATATTTTTCGTATTTTGTGTAACATTTTTGTACTTCTATATTTCTTTTTTTCGCTTACTCCTCCTATTTGCATTTTACACAATTTATAGATGCGAAAAAACGGGAGCTCACGATGATTTTGATAAGATTTTCTTTAAAGAGAACATTGTAAGAGAGAATATTCGGCGAATAACGTAATGCTCGGAGAAAAAAGATTATAATATTACGTGATTACAAATATTATAGCATCGATCAAATTTGTGAATAAACTTCGACGAATAAATTGTGGATACACGATCGGATTGCATCACCTTATTTTCCCTGAGGGAAAACGAATTTCCGATTCGTCCAGCAAAGCTGTGTCATTAAAATCTGACCCGAAAGAAGCGGATTGTAATCTGCTGTTGGCAATCCAAGGAAGACAGGATTGACTTGTTCGCGTATATATGTTTGCGGGGCAAGTATTTACCGCGTGTATAAACACGTTTCAGCTCCGGCCCCGGCCAATTACAAAATCGCGCGCGATTGCAAACACCGGCAATTTCATACACACGCGAATTCCTTCGGTCATGACGGTCGCCGCTCGCGTAATCGCGTATACCCTGGTGCAACAACGGCGCACAACGTATCCGCGAAAGAAAGTAAGACGAGGGCACGGGCGAGCGGCCTATGCACTCGGAAGTGTGAATACGAGTAAAGAATCGAGCGCGCGACGGTTTATCACCGTCATCAGCTTCACCGGCGCTGGCGTGCGTGCGTGTGTGCGTGCGTGTGTGCGTGCGTGTGTGTGTGTGTGTGTGTGTATGTGTGCGAAAGTCAATAATAAGTTTTTGCATTACTAATGATTCGCCAGAACAAAGACTCGATGCGATTCCGTTCGTATTAATAATTATCATAATCGCACGTCACAGATAACTCGAGTTTACCGAGAAGAACTAATCGCTAATCTCGTTAATCTTTTACGTGGCGAGATAAGGGAAGGGGAGGGGCAAATAATGACGGATTTTTTCCTCTCTCTCCTACAAACTAATTTCAAGTTTACAAGATATGATTTTTCACTAAAAGAGTACTTTCCACTTTCAAATATACAAAAAACTTAATTAGAGTTTCCATAAGTCATGTATACGATAGCTAGATTTTCATAAAAACTGAAACCTACATTTGTCACTATTCGCTCCATCCTATGGGTAAATAGTGACACCCTATGGGACAATTACAAAATACATAATTCTTAACTCTTATAATAGATTTTTCTTTTGACATTTTGATTAGATAAGGTAATTTATATTTTTTTATACTCTGCCATATGTAAATCTTTATTTATTGATAAATAATAGTAGTAACATTATTTGCTAGTATTTCTTATTAAAAATCACATTTATTCTGGATCTTGCCTTGTAACTAATCTCATATTATCCCAAATGAATTAGAAAAATCATATTCACATATTAAAAGATCTTTTTGACGTGTCATTATTTATCAACTAAAAATGGTAATTATTTGTTCCAGGAGCTACTTTTTTCTTTAAAATTTTACTAAGAGAAATAAAATTAATATACAAGCATAGGAATTATATCAAAATAGAGAAAAAAGATACCGTATGACATAGAATAGATTAGATCTCATTCAATGATTCAGCAATTAAGAAAATATAACTTCAAATATCAAAAAAAGATCCAGGTTTTATATTTGATTTTACAAATGTAAAATTTTAAACTTCTCTACTAGCTATATTTGGCTTTTGATTTTTACTGCTTTTTTCAGAAGATGATTAGATGCTTGAGAACTGTTTTTCTAATAACGAGTAGTGATAAAATAGACGCGGGAAAGAGGAGAAATTTGAAGTGACATTGTTTGCCCTCTGTCACTATTTGCCCCCCCCCCTTTCCTTACGTTCGAAAATAATTTGAAATGTGTAGTTGAGTATTTTATTTAATTGGATTGACAATATTAAGCACAGAGCAACTAGAAAAATGCAAAATACATGCCGTGGCATGCGCAAAAAAGAAGATTGAATTTGTCACAATTATACTGTTTTCTGACAATTAATTATTACCATTTATAATTTATAATGTATAAAAATACGCGACAAAAATATATAATCTTTTTGACTTATTTGATATCGTGTATGTAAGTGCGCTTGAAGACGCGGAATGGATTGGTCCCGCAAAGAAAGTTTCGTTTTGTTGTTTATCAGAGCAAGAAAAAGGATGATGCATGTGCGCACCAAAGCGGCCAGGCGCGCTCACCGGGCAAGGATTTTCGCGTTACGTAAACGTTACAATTTCATGAGTTTCTAAAATCACGGAATATTAAAGTTAGCTATCGCCGTTTCTTGGTAAGCAATTGCGAAATTATTGTTGAGTATTGCGTACGACGCGTAATTAAACTTGCAGGTGTATACGTTGTGTCGATTCCCCGGATTTCGTAGAAGATAATATTATAGATATTAAAACACGCTAATACTTTTGTTTATCGCGCTCGGTTACGCGAGAAAGATTGATACGATTGCGTATTTACATAACTATTGGAAACACCGCTTTTGTATTGGCTCAATTAATGTCTTAGAAGCGCGAGGCTGCTCGCGCAAAAAAAGGTCGAAAGTTCTCTGAAGCAAAGTATTCATTAATTGATTACGTACTATTAACGTACGACAAGATAGGTGGAAAACTTGATATTACCGACTATTATCTGCTATTAGATACGTTTTGTAGCAACAGAATTGGAAACTAGCTAATAATCTCTCCTTGGAAAACAGACAGGAATAAACTCTTTAGGTACATTAAATTCCTCGTATAAAATTATTGGAATTTTTACATAATTTTATAATAAACAACTTTGCATGCATTTTATTGAAATTGCCAGGTAGCGATCGTAGTAGATTATTCTAACAAATTCACCATTTCTGGAATCGCCAGCAGACGCTCCGTTTCTACGCTCGTGTCACATTCAACGTGTATTCCTTTACGTCACGGAACAGACGGAATGATCTTACCTGACTATCTCTCACAAATTAATGGATTTTGGCCAATTTGTTGGTAAAATTTCCCCCAAAAATCGCTAATCAGATTTCCTTTTTACCGTGCACTGTAACGGGGGACAAAGCAAGAGTGGGGTGTCCCTATGGTATAAAGGGGAACCGGTCCACACACGAGGTAATCGTTCCCACTCCGTTGTTCATTTACCGTCTCTCGAGTTCGCCGCTCCGCTCATTTCTCTTTCCGCAACAATCCGAAAGTCATCGCCGCCGCGATCGTTTGCACGTCGAGTGTTTTACTTGTGCCTGCGAATTACTGTACACCAGTTAAGGTAAGTTTAGCTCTAATTTATAACGTACGCAATGTCGTGTATAAAAACCATTTTTCTCGATTTTAAGAAATATTTAGATCGTTGCATTTTGCGCGCATATCAGATCGCATTAAAATTGCTGCACGATATATATATTGTGATTAAGTTTACGTTCAGTGAATGAAATATGCTTTTTCAAGTGTTCCGCTTAATTTTTGTATTTAATTATAAAAAAAAGAATAGAGATCGTACATTTTAAATTTAACTGCAGAACCGCGTTCGTTATTCGCAATAGGCCAGTTCTTTATAGCTGAACTGACTGCACTAGTTCAGAATTTATCTTTCTTTTTCCAACGTAGAAAGAGAAAGATAAACTGTGAACTAGTGCAGTCAGTTCAGATATAAAATAGGCTTGATGTCTCAATGTAACCCTTTGGATTTTTTAAGCTATTTTTTTATGTTGCATTTCTCCCTTAAATTCCAGAATTCTTTCATTTGCTTTCATGCCTTATTTTCTTTCTTCATCCACATGCAGACACGACACATAAATTTATTTTACACCTTAAACATATCGAACGATTATTTAAGAATGTTGAATATTTTTTAATAATCGTTTGATATATTTAAGGTGTAAAATAAATTTATGTGTCGTGTCTGCATGTGGATGAAGAAGAGAAAGGCATGAAAGTAAATGAAAGAAATCTGGAATTTAAGGGAGAAATGTGACATAGAAAAATGGTTAAAAAATATCAAATCTAAAGGTCTCTTTGCTCATATATTTATGAAAATTTGTTTAAATGTATAACTTTAAGTATTTTCTGTCCTTAAATATATATTTTTTGTATTTAAATATTAACAAAATTCGTGAATATTTAAATAGAAAATTAAATTTGAATTACAAAATTCAAAGATTCTTTTTCTGTATGAAAAAAGCTATTAACAATTTATTTTTAATAATATAAATATTATAAATCGATGTGTCAATCGGTTAGCCAATATGTATGTACAAAGTATAACCAGTTCGACGGTACTTCTATCTACCTCCATTATGTTGGCCAATTTCAAGTTTTATCAAGGACAGTAGTCTAATTTTTTTATGAGCAAAAAGTAGACTTAAAATCATAGGGTAATAAGAACTAGTGCTTATTATTGCGGTTGATTTAAATTTTTAACGTTTAGAATTAAAAGTCAGTGTCAGGTTCCCCTCTCTCTCTCTCTCTCTCTCTCTCTCTCTCTCTCTCTCTCTCTACTAATTATTTAAAAATTTCTACTAATTTCTACTTATTACAAAATGAGTTATTTCTATTGTATTTAAATCGTATCCTTCGATGCTGCAGGTATATAATATTCTAAACCTTGTCCGTGCCATTTATCCAAACACTTGCCGACTTTCACGCTCGCCAATTTTCCCGCGCTTTACGCGAAGATAATCGCAATAGCAGTAGTCTTGGTGGCCAAGAGCGCTTGCGTCATAACTGTTCTAGTAAGAGAAAAAAAAGAGATTACGCTGGGAAGCAATTATTAATGATTGCAAAACTTTCTGCTCTTTCACTTTGTCCTTTTTTTCCTAGGACTTACGTTCTTTTTCTTCAAACGACAATTTTGTTCTCGAGCTCTGCGCGAATTAATGGCGAGGAGATTGTGTCTCCGTAGTCTTCTACGCAAATCACAAGAATGTGATCTTGCAAATTTTTTTTCACAATAGCGACTAAATAGGTCATAAAAAAAGTGTATTTCGAAACAATATACTGCCGTTCCCGAAACGGGGAGAGGTAAAGATTAAGAAACACTCTCTCGGTACTTCTCCGTACGCGAAGTCGCGACGAGTTAGAGAAAGTTTGGTGTTGAGCAAGCCGCTTTGGTCAGCATTAATTCCTGACATAAGAACGATGGGTATCTTAACCGGTTGTGCAATCTCCGTAGTGCACATTGCGCGCGTAACACGTGCAACCGAAAAGCAGTCGTATAAGCAGTATTATATGCGCGCAGCCGGGACGGTATCCGATTTATTTTGCAAGCAATTTAATTTTACGCTTTCTAATCCCGAAATAGGGATTTATATTTATGATAAATTTTCTATTTATTACAAAAATAAATTGTAGAGAATTTTCGTGTTCGCTCGCATGTGGGATCGTGTACTTTATTGCGATCTTCGTGTTTGTATAGATGCTGCTCATACAGCCTTCGGAAGAAATGTCTAAGCAGATACGAGTGGAGTTGAACGAGAATGTGGCGACGCGCGATAAGGATCTCGAAATTATCAAAGAATGGCTCGCAAGCTGCCCCCATTTACCCAAGTTCAATGGTACGTTTTTTTGTCGGATATATACATATATCAAACGTTATATAAAATTATTATAATTGTTAATACAATCTGCAATTTGCATTCAATTTTAGGATTTTAATTATAATTTGACATGCGCCGTATATTTTGATATACATATGCGCGTATATCTACACTAAGAGAAAAATATTTTGTATTTGTGACTATAATTGCATGGTAAAAAAATTATGGCTAGGAGCACTATTTTTGTAGTTATTATTACTATAATGTTAGTAATAATAACCTTATATGTATACAGTATAATTCTATCAAATATGAAAAAATTTTACTATAAATATCATAAATATCAAGACATATATGACAAATCAAATAAATATTGTTATGTAGTAAATGCAACTGCAGTATAGTAAGTATAACTATTTTCTTAACATTTGCTTACTATTTGTACTGTAATAATAACTAAAAAATAAGTAAATGAAAAAATAATAATATTCAATCATAATGTATAACCAAAACGCATTGTTAAAGCAGCTATAATTTGTATGGTTAAATTAATTATAATTTTATAGTTGTTCCCGAAATTCACTATAAATTATAGTTAAACTATGGTTATTCCAACTATATTTTTCTCTCGGTGCAACATTTATTTTATATTAATCCATTTCCGATTCTCTCCAGAAATTTTTTTAGAGTAAAATTCTATTCTGAATTCTGATATGAATTATACACAGATCATCTAAGTAGGCTTAAAGTGCGGGAAACTTTTTTTTTTATTAATCGTTGCGCTACATAAATATAGGTTTACAGTCAACATAATGTAATTTCGCCCCTTCACAGACGATCAAAGAATAATGACGTTTCTACGCGGGTGCAAGTTCTCTTTGGAGAAATGCAAACAGAAGCTGGACATGTACTTCACGATGCGCGCGGTAGTTCCCGAATTTTTCTCCAATCGCGACATCACGAGGCCGGTGATGCAAGAAATAGCGAAGCTCATGTAAGGATGTATTGCACGATAGCACACGATATATACATTATACGGCGGTATTTTAAAATCTCGAATGTTATTCGGAAAGCGAGATATCTAAAGTGTGATTGGGATTCGCAATTACGGATTAAGTAAACGTCTAACTCTCCGTCTCTTTCCTGCAGACATGTACCTCCTTTACCGGGCTTGACGGCGAAAGGATGTCGAGTGATCATTATGCGAGGAATCGATAAGGACGCACCAACTCCCAACGTACCGGAAGCTATGAAGGTATAAGTTCATTTTGACCAGTGGTAGCAAAACTATGGAAGTTCAGAAACGCTCGTGACCTCTTCAAATTCAGTAAAATTTCGCTCTGTGTGTGTGTGTGTGTGTAAAAATAAAAATCAATCTTTTATATAACGCTCTCTCTAGTACTAATATTTGGTATTCTAGAAAAAAAATGCGTTGCGCTAAGCTTTTCGATGGATTCACATTTTCTAGATTCACGTTCTCCTCATCGTACATATAAAAATATAATTTATCGCGTCATTCTTTCTTTTTTTAGTTGTAGTGTACTATAGCTGTACTCGCTGTATCGATTTCGATGGTTCCGCGGGTTTATAAAAAACTATTTCACGTCGTTACTTCATATCGTCACCTCGTGGCATCGGAATAACAGAGTCATTATAGAGACATTATATTACCATTAAAGATGGTGTTCATGATCGGGGATATTCGCCTGAGGGAGGAGGAACACGGCGTGGCCGGCGACGTCTACGTCCTCGACGCTGCCGTCGCGACGCCCACGCACTTCGCCAAATTTACGCCGGCAGTGGTGAAGAAGTTTCTGGTATGCGCGATGGAGGCGTATCCGGTGAAGCTGAAGGAAGTGCACGTGATAAACGTCAGCCCGCTCGTCGACACGATCCTCAATTTCGTCAAGCCGTTCCTGAAGGAGAAGATACGCAATCGCATCTTCCTGCACAGCGACATCAAGACGCTGTACGATTACATACCCCGGGAGATATTGCCGGCCGAGTACGGGGGCGACGCCGGACCCATCCAGAATATACACGGCACGACATTTTTCTATATTTTCTATTGATTCGGAGTCACAGCGTCCGTCTTGCAACGTCGCTTTTAATTTCAAGCTTCCTTGAGTCTCTTCAATATATCGAGTACGAGTTTCCTTAAGAAGAAGTTTCTGAAAAGAGACATTATAAATCTTTTTCCGTTAAAGATGCAAGAGACATCCAGGTACTTGCGATATAACGACAACTAAATGAACTGTAATCGGAATTAGCAATAAGAGGGCACATATAAAAAACACGTTTCACGTTAAATATCTTCGACGTTAAAAGACGATTTTTTTCTGATATTGTTTTGTTTTCTTCATCTTTCAGACATGTGGATGAAGAAATTAGAGGAATACGGGCCGTGGTTCGCTGAGCAGGAAGCTATGAAGACTAACGAGGCCTTGCGACCAGGTAAACCAAAGACGCAGGATGACCTGTTCGGTCTCGATGGATCCTTCCGGCAGCTGACGATCGATTAGGTCGTTTAACGCGTTCACGGAGTCATTCTGACGTAATCGTCGCCAACGGCAGTCGTTAACTAGACCGTTCGTCCGCGTAAATTTCGACGTTGACCGATCGTAAATTCCGTCCACGGTGAAAACTAACGAGATACTTTCCCTTCGAACGACTACAATTGCAAATTTTTGTACGGATTGGTGTCCGAATATCGAGCACTTTCAAAATAAAAATTTGTAAATAGTTACGAAAATATATTTTTATCGAAAAGCTTGCCAGAAAAATGACAGAGACGACTTATTATTGATAATATATTGTATTTTTTATCATTTTTTTAACGCGATAGTTTATTTATTTCTAATTGTGGACGTTACGTCATTGATTACAATCGATTAGACGTAAGTTCAAAGAATCTAAGGAAACAAAGTTCATATTTTATATAGATATTTTTCTCTTTGTTCATCTTTTGTTCTTTTCGTCAATTTTTTTTTCTAGATAATACCGTTTGTATTTTAATACAAATGCATACGTAGAATACTCGAATTTTAAGTTTTTCTTTGAGGGATTTGTGTAGTAAAATGATACTTTATATGTGATCCTACGACAAAACGATAAGAGAGGCGACCGTAAATCGAAAAATTATGGAAATTGGATTTTATCTTCTAAATTAACAAATAATTAAGTTCAGAGGTTTTATTGCCAAACTTAATATTTCCCGAAGATAATATCTCAATATAGAAATATTGTGATACGACGTTTAGTCAAGCAGTATATTAGAATGTACCGCACTTATATGTATATGTACATGCGCATGTAATTAAGTTTATATTGTCACTAACACAATCATGTTATTATTAAAATATGCGATAATGTTCGGAAATCGAGTGAAATCGAGCGAACGCTCAATTTCGCAGTGAGTAAATGTAGTAACATAAAAAAAACTCTAATACTTTTGTAAATTTTTTACTTGAATCACGATCGATTGCGTGCAAACTCGGCAAACGTGCAAAAATGTGGCACACTGATGATATACCTATTATTTACGTGATATTTTCTGATATTTCAGATATTCTGTATTGATTTTTCATTTTGAGAAATCATGAATAAAATCTTTTAGGATGAAACATGTGTGTAATTGTATTCAGATTGTATGATTAAATCATAAATAAATCCTAAAAAAAAAAAACAGATTCTCCTCAATTGATATCAAATACGCGGCCAAATTCTTCGCGTGCCGCACAAATGACTCATACTGCAGCGGTGTTTTCGTGTATTGCAACGCGTGAGAAATGTAATTTGTACGCGATTACGTGCAATCGTACAATAATATATCATTCGGAAAATTGCACGTTGCGAAAAGCGCATTTTGCACAATATAAACATTTTGGAGATCTTGCAGTAAAAAGTAAGCCCTATTCTTTCTAGAAGAAATGTGGGTCCAGCTTAATTTGACCAGCTGCGGTGCCGATCGCCGGCCATTAATTCGTCGCGAAGTGGAACGAAAACGAAAGATTCGATAAGAATGTCTGTTGCCGGTGAAAGCTGTATGTAGCGGTTAAACCACTGTGCTGAAATTACCCGAGTTTCCATTTACGTTCACTCGATTCCCTAGGATAATCAATGCCAGCGCCGGATTTCAATAATTCGAAAGTTCAAAGAGGGGAACAACGCTAAAATTTCTAAAAAGTATCCTTGGATTTAAATTATTTAAAACAATAATTCCAAAAGTTTCTACAATTTCTTTTTAAATTGATGTGTAATTCCAGTCTCTAAGATTGATATATCTCGCCATTTATTATCGTACTAAAAAATTGCATTTATATATTTTTGCATTACTTCGAGTTAGAGATGTAAATAGAAAAAAAACCAAATTGTTTTTTTCATAAAATACGTTTTTTTTTAAGAAAAAAACAAGCCTCGTTTTTTTTCAAAATTTTATTTTTTTCAGCTATCTATTTAATATCTATATTTTGCTTAATATAAGTTAAATTTTCATGATTTTTTATTTTATAGCAGCAGAATTTATTTTATAGATAGCAGATTTAAATTATTATCATTTTAACCTTTACGCAAAACGAGAAAGCCAATATATTGATTTTGAAAACGTATTTTGAAGCAAAGACTTCAATGAATTATTAAAATTAATTCTACTTAAGGAAAAGCTGTTTAGAAAAAGGATGAAAAAGATTCTCCTTTTGTAAAAGTTAAATGTAGATTACATTAAAATTAATTATATAACTATATAATTACTATTTACAATTAATTAGTCGTGCTATCGGAATAAGAAAAAAAACCAAATTTGTATTTTTTTAATGAAATAAAATACGTTTTTATTCTAATGTTTTTTTCTATTAGAAAAAAACATTTTTTTTTTACATCTCTACTTCAAATGCAACTATTTAATATATAAATTAATCAGCGAATGTAAAAAAATCTTTATCTATTTCCTGTTCTTCTGTTCGTCTTCCATATGAAGGAAAAAAAAGGCTTTTTTTGCTTCACTTTGTCATAATAATAGTCTTAATAAAAATAAATTTAGTCAATCCCAGTTGTCATTACATTAATTATTCAGATGTTTTCATTCATATTCTGGTCTTTCGATACAGTTTGACGATTCCGATAATGGGACATAAGTACAAGAAATGAAAATATATTTTTTGGACAACAGTAGCGACGATTGTGATGGTAATATAATATTTGTCGTGCCATCGCATATTCGAGACGAGTTGTCGCCTCTCTTCCCATGTCGACGCATCCCCACTTCTTCATTCTTTTAGTCACTTGCGATCGTCATTGAGCCTGCTAAGCCAGTCAGTCAGTCAGGCAGCTCATCAATCAGTCGGTTAGTAGTCAATCGATTAAACTTTTTGCATTCGAAATTAATAAAGTTATCGAATTAATGTCAAATTTTGCCATTAATATTCAATAATATAGTGCGTGTGTAACAATAATACAATAAAAATTAGTCCAGTAAAAGAATAATTTGTGAAAGTAAAACGTGAAAGTGTGTTTTGTTATGTTTTCTTTTGTTTGATGATCGACACACCGTCAAAATAATAAACAAAATAATCTATTTTTGTCTAATTTAATGAATTTTACAAAAAAAAAACGAAACCTAGAATCAAATCGATAGAATAGTAATATTAATAATAACTTGCAATAAACATAAGAAAATTAAAACTATAAAGTTACGATAATTAATTAAATACTTTATAAAAATGTGTAGTATAATTTAGTAAATTCTAACAATAAGATACATTGAGATGTGTCTTCTTTTTAGTCTCTCTTTCTACTTGTACAATTATTCAAATCAAAATTTAATAAAATTCTTCTTTTTCACATTTGCAGGCAAATTTTTGAAATGTAAAAAGTGCTTCGATGTCTTAAGTCAAGTCTTACAGAATAATAATTACTTTTTTTTTGCTAATACAATATTATATATGCGACGATTAAAAAAGTTTCTGAGCGTGTCCATCTACCAGTTTTTTGAATAAACCTCACCAAATAATTACGGAGATCGTTCGTATATACATATTTTGCATTTTTTGTCATTTTGCAAGAACAATTTCTTAATAATATCTCACGCATTTGCATATATGCTTCTTCCTTGCTTTCTCTTTCTCGCGAATTATACGATATATTGCTTGAACTTGAAATTTGAAGTAATACTCTTGCATAAGTATATAAAAGAAGAATGAATTAAAATGAAAAGTGTTTTAGAATCAACTTAATTAATTCAACTTAATTTTAATATTGCAAGGTTAGCGTCTTCCTGAATTTTAAGCAGGATTATAACCTGTTTCGAATTTTTAATATTCAACCGGCGCCGAGGAACGTTCTCGACTGCAATACTGTATCAATAAAATATAATGCATTCGTAGCGGGAGATTTCCGGTTTTACGAAATTAGCATGTTTAAAGCTTGAGAATTATAATTTCAATTTGCTCAAGTGTTTAAGTGCTGCTGCGTTATTAATGAGGAAAGCACATTGATCGTGTTAGTTGGTCTCCGGATTTTCCGCCTTCGCGTTTCGACATAAATGATTCTATAAACGGTGCGCATAGCAGGCCTGATAACTTATGCAGCTCTCGGGTGCACACGATGATATCGGCATTAATGTTCGGTGAAGTGCATTTAATATAGACCTCAAATTGCAAAGCAATCTTATATTTAGTGACGTATTTACGTCTCGTGTAGAATTAGCATCGCCGCGTAACGATTACGTGTATAAATACAGTTTGCAATAATTTTCTCGCTAAATGTATGTCTTTGCCTAGCTTGGCCGGGTCGATCGATATCTCTTGAATATCAATAATGAACATGCATATACAGATATACAATATAAGTCACCGACTTTCCACATAATACAGGTGAAATCGATAATTATTACCGTCTATGAACTGAAACTATGTGAAAATTGAGATTTCCATCGATAATGCATGAATCGACGAGGAGTCGAGTAGAAGCTAAATATATTGCTGCATTTGAGAAATTAATAACACACGTGCAAAATTGGATATGTCTTTGCTTTCTGATTTTCCATACTCCCGTTCGTCGTTCTTCTGTCAAATCGTGTCGAAAAGATCGGCCGTTTATTCTCACGTTTTCTTCACGAATCGCTTCGTACAATACCTCTCACTCGAATCGTAGAGAGATAGCGGCGTGATCCGCATTTAAATACAATCGACAGAAGGAGATCGGCGTGGTGGACAGGCGAGAGTGGGAGTGCGATAGCCGCAGACGAAGTGCGAGCGATCGAAGTGACGGTGGAACGAGAGAGGACTGAGCACGCAACCCGTGCGCACATTCTGGGTGTCTGGGCATACAAGACACCGATGGTAGAAGAGGCAACCTTTGGCCTCTCAACGCGAGGAACGGAACGGTCCGCGATCGTCGTCCGCTCTCTCGGTATCCCGCGAGTCTTCCACGAGATCGCGATGCCGACGGTCGGCGACATTTGAGCCATCGGTCGGCGCTGACTGGTATACCGGAATAACTGCGGTGAGTTTGAATTACGACGTTATTTTGGACACAGGATGTGTATTTTACAGTCAACACGTTTCTCGGAGAAAACTCTTTTGTGCGATCTCAATTTGCGCGATGATTTAAAAATGCGTGCTTAAAAGGCACCGAATTATGCCGGTTCCAGTCCCTGACCGTGGTTTATGGATGTGTATTTTTCAATCAACACGTTTCTCGGAGAAAATTCTTTTGTGCGATCTCAATTTGCGCGATGATTTAAAAATGCGTGCTTAAAAGGCACCGAATTATGCCGGTTCCAGTCCCTGACCGTGGTTTATCCATGATGTAGATTTAATGACTTATCATTAATTTAATCAGGATTAATTAGGAAGTTTGTAGATCTGTTCTTTTCACGTACATATCTTTTGTACTTTCTTCACAAAATATTTTATTTATTCATATGATTTATTGCCACTTATATTATTAAACGTAGATAAAAAGAATTCATATCTATCCGTGAGATTTCAAAAGAGCGATGAATTATGATACATTTCACAGAACATATTTAACATTTTTAAAAATTTCTTTTTGGCTTTGTAGATCGGGAATTTTATATTCCTCGGCATTTCTTCTTCATATCTCGGGTCTTCCCAAATTTATACCGGAGATCTTTTCTGCTTTCAGCTTTTGAGAACTGAACGAAACTTGACTTGGCGCTTCGACGAAGCAGGGCGCGACGCTTTCGTGTGCCAAGGTGTGCTATGCCGATTCGCATCGACGTTGCGGTGTAACGGGCGCGCACCGAGGCTTCTGAATCGACGTGACCGGCGCGCGCCTCGTCGCGTCGCGTTCCGGGACGACAGGATCGCGAAGGCAGAATGAAGCCCGGCCTCTTCGTCACGTGCGTCACGGTGAGTTTTCCCGGCCGATGGTTCCTGATGGTCACTCGCGATTACCTGTTGCATACCTGCATTATGTCGCGTTACCGCGTTACCGAACGTGACGGAATGCCGCGAAAGTTCGCGGCGAAATAAATGTTAGGAACAACAATATCCCGCGTAAATTTTGCAGGACGGCAAGAAATCGCGAGTGATTTTTCAGTGACATTCAAACTGTTATTATTATTTATCATTACTGTTACCATTTCTATCCTTTTTAACAAAACCGAGACAGCTTTGTTGGAATTATTACTTTACACTTTCAAGTGTAACAATTCTATTTGATTATCTTTAACGGATTGCCGTCATTCTATAGATTTCTATAGATTTATGTAATTTGTATAATTTATATAATCGTTTGGAGATAAATAACAAGAAAATTAAGTTTAAAAAATACATCAATAGCTCGGAATTTTCAAAATTTCGAAAATGAGCATTTCAAAGTTTCACTGCTTCGTTCAAATGTCTAATAATTCATTTGACGAGCTTGGCGAAATCGCAGGAAAACGAGACGTTTCCTCTCGCTTCGGACGTACTGTTTCAAAAACGTTCCGCGAAAGAAATTCTCTTGCTTATTCGTAGGAATTCGCGAGTTTACAATAAGGCCGATATTTGCCGAAGCTATTGGCGTTTGTCATACAGGAATTACACGGCCGACGAACCGAGGATTTCTCGGAAACCTGGAGAACGCTTTGGCGACGAGGAAGCGGGATCAAACGCGGCTCCAAACACGCTTCTTCCTTCCTTCTCGCAAACATACCGGTTTCTCGAATTCGCGAATTAGCTATTTCACGGCGCTCGTCATGAAAGATATATATTTAAATAAAACGACTTCTCTAAAATCGGCCGAGGACTTTGCTGAAACTATAACGGTTGCATGTGAATCAATTAATCACGATGCTGCTTTGAAATCGTAATCCTTCGGAAGAGAAGTTATTTTAAAGTGATTAAAGAATAAAGATAAAAATCTTCTTTACTTTGAGAATCAATTTTTATGTCTCTGGAATAAAGCCCTTTCGAAAATAAACAATTTACGTATAATTACGCGTCTCGCGAAGATCTGATTGTAGATTATCGCGACCAGAGATCGTTTTTATCTCGCAAACGAAATGCATTCTGCTTTAATCCCGGGAGACGCAGCTGCTACGAGAATGCGAGAATTTAATTCCCCTAATGAAGGCTCGTGAATGAACGAAGATTCAGCTCGCAAACGAATCGCGCTTAAGTCCGTCACGTAGCCCGTACGTGTCCTGCGGATTTATCGCAGCGATTCGCGCGATACCGTCGGTATATCATAATGAAGAACAAAGGTATATATGTATACGTATTGTTCTGTGGCGTCATGGTTTTTTTAATAAGCGACATATAGCTGTAATATGCATACAAAATATATTCTAATTTCATAAATTATATCCTCTCTCTCTTCTTCCAAAGTCCGAGTCCCTCGAGTTTGCGAACAAGGAAGAAATAAGCGTCATTATTTTTCAATTTTTCTATTTATTTTTATTGTTCTATTCGATCGTTATACATATTCGTTATACTTATTCACGTGAAGTGACTTGAAATTATTCATAAAATTTTATTATTTATTAAAATGACTGTGTCGTTTCAGAATCGAATCCCCCGAATTTGTGGATAGACAAGTGTTCGAAGATATCAGTATATTTCTTTCTTAGCTCTTAGTTACTTTATATATACACCACACGCAAAAAATGACTTAGTAATAGTAGGTAAATTTCAATAGCTGAATCAAACTTAGCTATAAGAGCTACCGCCTTAGTGTCATTAAGTTCTGACTATTACAGATAAAAAACATTCACTGTGACAAAAAAATTTATTAACTGAAATTAAAAGCATATATTAGTACAGGCTAAAAAGATGGCATGCACCTAAATATCTTATCATGCACACATTTAGCGCACAGAGTTAAGTTTTTATAGCTTCGCGCGGAAATTTGATTTGTAATTATTTTTGCAATATGGCACTGCCATATGCACATCTACAACCACATTTAGCATTTATATTTTGCAGCATATAAGGCTATATACTGCAAATATTGTTACTCTATTGCGAAGATAAAATAGCATAGTAGATTTGGCTAAATACGAGTATCATTTGATTTTAGCAGCAAATATTTTTTGCTGTAGCATCTACATTTTAATAACTAATAAATTAAACTTCGGCAGCAACGACATTAGTTCTTATCTTAACGACACAGCTGCAATAGCTATATTTTAGCTTCATTGACTAATTCTTTTTCTGCGTGCATGAACTGTTACGTATTATTATAGTCGCGTCAAGCGATTCGAAATTACGCCGAAATGAAAATTTTAACTGTGCGTCAAATCGGAACTGGAGGCGCGTGATGGCGTCACGTTGAAATTTGTTTAAAATTTTGTTTGCCCTCCTCGATTCCCGATAAAAGCGCAGGGAAACCGTTCTTACTTTGACGCCGTAAAAACCTTGATTGCACAGATTGCCGTGCACGCAGATTATATTATGAGACTGTAGTCTACATGCAAAATTTAAGACTCTACACGACATTGTCCTAGATTGCGAACGTTCGTCGCAGTACACGTGTACTGAAAATCATTATGTGCAATCTCTCCTCGGTGCAACAATGATATTGCTTGTTAATGTACAATGCTTGTTAATGCATGATTTATCGACAGATTCTGCCGGCGGTATTGATTACGTCGACGTGCGAGATAAACGCTAGCCCGACGGAAGACGCGAAGGCAGTCGGGAACGGGAACGATTACGCCCAAGTCCTCGGGCTGTCGTTATTGTTTTACGAAGCGCAGCGTTCTGGCAAGCTGCCGAGGAACAACAGAATTTCATGGCGAGGCGATTCCGCGCTGTACGACCGCGGCTCGAATGGCGAGGATCTAACTGGAGGATATTACGATGGTAATAAACCAGTTGCGTTTTAAATCCATATATAATTTGTTAGTTTTCTGTCATAGTCGTTTAAATCTAGAAAGAAATATGTCATATTTGATTACAATTTATTACTAGTTATTATAAATTTATCAAATACGAAATATTGCTGTCAAAGTTATCGATATAAATCGTATTTTTAGAAAGCCATATGTCAATAAAATAATTAAAAAATAAAGACTGAAAAAAAAGAAAAACTATTTCAAAAATTATTAATAATCTGACAAAAATAATATCATATTTTAAAAAGAATTATGAACAATCAATCCAAATCTTTAATTCTATAAACATTATTTTCTAAAGACTTTTATATATGTCTCTTTACATTATATTTCTTTTCAATGAAAGAAAATATATAATACATTTTGCAAAATTAATCACTCTTATTCCATCAGCTGGTGACTTTGTTAAGTTCGGCTTCACCATGGCTTTCACGACGACGCTTTTAGCCTGGGGAACGGTCAGCTGGCCGGAGGGTTATGACGCCGCCAGTCAACTGGACGAAGTTCGTAGAGCCATCAAATGGTCTACCGATTACTTTATCAAGTGTCACGTAAGCGACAACGTGCTGTACGGGCAAGTTGGCGATTTTCCTATCGATCATATGTTTTGGGGAAGACCCGAGGAGCTGAATATCACCAGACCAACCTACAAGATTGATGCGGAGCATCCTGGTAGTGTGTTAACGTTTATTTATCAGAGAATAAATTAACCGAGAAACGAAAAATACACATTATTATCTGTGAATGCATTCAATTATTATTGTATAGATTAATATCTATTAACGAGTAAATTATTCCTTCTTCCTCTCTCGACTTATTCGGCTTATTTTCTTATACTTATATTAATTTATTACATTTATTATAGTTGTTACACATTGCATATCCACATGATGTATTTTATTTGCCATCAATCGATCGCAGGTTCCGATCTTGCTGGCGAGACGGCCGCCGCTCTCGCGGCCTCGAGCATCATCTTCAGCAGCGTCGATCCTGAGTACAGCGCCAAGTGTCTCGAGCATGCGAAGGGCCTGTACAAATTCGCCGACGTTTATCGCGGCCTCTATCACGAGGCAATACGCGGCGCCGAGCGATATTACGAGAGCACGGACTACGGCGACGAGCTGGCGTGGGCCGCGATTTGGCTCTTCAAGGCGACCGGAGACATGAAGTACTTCGACGACGCGGTGCATCACTACCAGCATTTCCATCTCAAGGAGCGACCGAATGCATTCTTCTACAATAAAAAAGTTGCCGGTATCCAGGTGAAATCTCTTGTTTATACATTTCTTTTGATTTCCAACAACATACGGCTAGCTTCATGTGCGTATGTCTTTTTTTTTAATTATTATTCATAATTTTGACTACCAAACGTAAGTAAACAATCACCAAACGAATGCTTATAGTTATGAATACTTACGCAGTCTGGAAAGCCGTATATTTTATGAAAGGAGGGGCTAACTTCACGCGCATATGTTTTTCTTTGATATTATTATTTACAACTTTGATTAAAAATCATCGGAAATGGACTGCCAAACATTAGCAAACGAATGTTTACAGTTATAATTACTTACGCAGTCTGGAAAGCCATATTTTACAAAGTAATCTTGCTAATGTAATTTATTTGTTGCGAAAGAGTTGTCATCCTTCGACAAATTCGGCGTTGAAGTACTCTCTAATTTTTCCGGAGTGAATTTCATTTCAAAAGATTGAAAATACTGCCACTCGGTCACTTGAGTGGCAGTATTTTCAATCTTTTGAAGTGAGATTCACTCCAGAAAATTTAGAGAGTATAATATAAATAGCGGAGTTTCTCGATCGCAAGAAAAGTTGTGAATGTAATTCGTTAAGTGCGGTAATACTCTCCTTTTTAGGTGCTGCTGGCCGAATTGACGGGACAGCCCGAGTATCTGAATGCCACCCGCGCGTTCTGCGACTTCTCGGTGCGGCAGCAAAAACGCACACCGAAGGGCCTTCTGTTTATCGACAAGTCCGGTACTCTTTCTCACGCCGCTAACGTGGCCTTCGTCTGCCTGGTCGCGGCGGACTCCCCGGAAATCGGCGACTCGCAGGAATACCGTCAATTCGCCAAAGAACAAATTGACTATATGTTGGGTGGAGCGGGTAAGATCTAATAGTTTAAAAAAATTCAAAGAAGAAAAATTCATATTAATTTTTTTAGCTGCGACTTTTATTTACGGAATTTTTATTTTTTATATCATTAATTCTAATTTATCTGATTTATTGATTATTATATCAGTTTTATTTTATTAAATAAAAATCAAACCTAAAAATCTATCGGTCGATCAATAAGCACAATGATAACAAATTTATTGTTTTTTTTTTACAAATTTTAGTTAGATATTTAAATCTTTTTTATTTTCGTTTGCCATTGAATTTGCGCATTTTTCAGGAAGGAGTTACGTGGTCGGATACGGTAAAAATCCACCGAAACAGCCGCATCATGCCGCGTCTTCTTGTCCCAATAGACCGGCGTCCTGCGGATGGCAAGAATTCAGCAAGAACGCGCCAAATCCGCAGATTCTCTACGGTGCTCTAGTCTCCGGACCGAACGAGGTGGACTCGTTTAAAGATTGTCGCGAGGAATACGCCTATACGGAGGTCACGCTGGACTACAACGCTGGCTTCACCAGCGTGCTCGCCGGACTGCTGCAACTGCAATTGAAGAGCGTGGATAGAAGATTGCCAAAAGAAAATTAATTTGTAGTATTTTTTTAATCAACGCGTAGACGAATTTCCATGTAAGACCGAGGCTCTTGCTGATTCTTTGTAGTGGAATACAAAGGAACTTTTTTTACAATATGAAGAATTACGTCTCGTTTTCAACTTATAACATTTTTATATTATTAACTATAATTTTATATTAGAAATTTAATTATACTTTATACAGGGTGTCTCCGTATAAGTGGCCACCCCTTTTTATCTCGTAAACTAATAGAGATAAACCTAATAAATATATAATATCAAGTTAAACGGCTCTGACTAAACTTTATTGTAAGCACAGTGGTCACTTAAAAATATTATCTATGTTAGAGAGCGAAAAGACATGATTAATTTTTGCACAGTAAGGTGACAATTTTAATATGATAAAAGTTGTAGCGTTTTTTTTTTACGAACATAACGATGTATAATATAACGAAATTATTTTACGAATTATAACAGTTATTTTGGTTTAAAATTTTGCGGGCAGCTACTACCTTTTCAATTTCGGACCTGCGATGTGGCCAACTTCTGATTTTCGCGTTGACAATTGAAGTGTACTGTTTTTATTTGATCATAGTACTCTCGTTAGTGAGAGAGTCGGAAGTTGGCCACATCGCAGGGCCGAAATTGAAAAGGTAGTAGCTGCCCGCAAAATTTTAAACCAAAATAATTCGTATAATTCGTAAAATAATTTTGTTATATCATACATTGTTATATTCGTTAAAAAGAACTCTACATCTTTTATCATATTAAAATTGTCACGTTATCGTGCAAAAATTAATCATGTCTTTTCGCTCTCTACACAGATAATATTTCTAAGTGATCACTGTGCTTACAATAAAGTTTAGTCAGAGCCGTAATTTGATACTCGTATTATATTTATTAGGTCTATCTCTATTAGTTTACGAGATAAAAAGTGGCCACTTAAACGGGGACATCCTGTATATATAATTTCTTTCTACAAACTATATATTGTTTACGTACTGCAATACACTGCGATAAAAACCAAGCGTGATATATCTTGAGATGATAAGTATATAAGCTGACATTATACGTCGCTAATCTTAAGAATGTTTTAAGTTTACCGCAACTTTTTTAAACTAAAAATCACGATACTTTATCTATGTTAACAATATTCAATTAGATAATAGTATTAGATAGTAAATTGTGATTATGTCGAAGCCGAAAAAGTAACATGCGTATCAAGACAATGTTCGCGTGTAAATAAAGTACCGTTTTGTTTTAAATGATAGAATTTAATTCATTTGCGCAGTCCGACAGAGATTACAACAATTCAGATGCGTTTGACAAAATGGTAACATCACGAGGCTTTCCGAGGAGGTGAAATAAAAAAATGTCTAGATAGTCATCGATCGTAAGTCTATGTACGTGCGCGAACTGAGTCACATAGTACAATATCGATCGCGTGAACGTAAACAAAAACAACCGGTGAAATAACTTTTAGAAAATAATACGCACAATGAACAATACATGATATTTTTCTATAATATTTCTAAATTTCTAAATTGCAATAAATTTCTAAATTTCTAATAATGCAATGCTCCTTCTAGAATTCTTAACAATTTAGGGTTGACAAAATACCGTTGCTGTTATCCTCATCTGTGTATTCTTATTCTCATACTCTCTGGCAATATTTAGAAGATTGAATAATGATTGATTCATTATTTTTCGTTATTAAGTCTGACAATTACGCGAAACATTGTAAACTGACACAAGACAAAGCAAGATATGTTTTGTTACGTGATCGGGCTGTGTATAGTATTGTATAGTGTCTCTCTTTAAGATCGTTTTAAAATGATGTACGTGTCATCGAAGAGAGGCGAGTTTCCGCGCAGTGAAAGTATCGATAATTTCGTAAGAGAATCGAGGATGAATTTTTTTTTTTTTTAAGTATTTGCGCTCTGTGAATGCGTGAATTTTTTAAAAATTAACATGCGGAAATAAGAAGCGCAAGACTTACTGAACACGCACGTGTTTCAGAGTAACGTCTCTCGTCTTTGATCCGCGTAGCGTCGCGTCGGCAATAGCGTTCAACGAGGCGTAACGTTAGCGGACAACTGCTGTATTGACAATACGCTTTTCCATGTGGCGGTTCTCGTTACAATCGCGCTTACATTACACGCTATTATACGTCTATAGCTGTATCGGCACAGGTGCACCGCGCAATTGAAATAAGCGTACGTGCTGTCGGCGCTGTCGCCATGCGGTGCGAATACACTTTTATCTGCGGCGTAACGTGGCTCCTTATCCTCCTGCTTTCCGAAAGACTTTTCGCGAGCGGTAAGTTCATAATCCCAAATTCCGTGAAACTTTGGATACTTCGTTTAAAAAAAAAAAAAATTACGATAACTTGCAACAGGGGAATCAGGAAACGATTATTCGCAAGGATGCGCTCATCTACGTTGCGAGAACGGCAGCCGATGCGTGAAACGGCGGTTTTGGTGCAAGGATCCGCCTTGCCCCGGCATGTTGTACTGTTCCAGATCGAGGAAAGGTGAATTTCGAGAGAAGAACGTGTCGATAAATTCGTTTTTTGTCTTCTGTCGAATGAAAATTTGCTTGTTTCACAATCTTCAATATCTGCACGGAAAGAACGATTTTGTTGAAAGATCTAAAAATTTTGCTAAATATAGATCCGAAAATAATTTTTTGTTGAATCATCAAAATAATTTATTGGAATGTTAAAACTGATAAGCATTGCTATAAAATTTTGATATTCTAGCAATCATTTTGACTTTTGCACCAAATTATTTTGATTATTGAACAAAAATTATTTTCAGATCTGAATTCAGCAAAATTGTTCTTTCCGTGTGACCATTTTTTTCTCTATTTCTTTCCATATATTTTTTCTTACATTTAAATAATTTTAAATATTTTACATTTATTACACAGTATTATATTTGTGCAAGTGTAGACGCTCGACGTAAGTCTGCTTATATTTTTAGAATCGTTGAAGGGACCTCTAACGTGCGACACCGTTCGTTGCAACAAAGGTCACGTGTGCGTCGTGAAAGTTCGAGGATGTGATTGGGATGGGAGTAATTGTCGCATATTAACCGATTAATTATATTTATATTTTTGAGAAATGCAGATAGTGTATTGATCAATTTTCTCAGACTGTAAGCAACAATTAGCGCGCTGCGTATCGGAGAAAGAGTATTACGAGGGTGCAGCTTCCTGCGCCGGCTTCGAATGTCCGTCGGGAGAACGTTGCATCCTGCGGGAAACATTCTGCGTGAATCCGCCCTGCAAACTCATCAGAAGCTGCAAAAATGAGGAAGGTCATCAAACAAAAAAAAAAGAAATAATTAATTTAAATGATTCTCACTCATTGTCAGTATTTTTACGTACTTTCTCACAGATTTTTCACGCGCTCCCGCGCGCGTTCGAAATAATTTATTGTAAATACATATTTAAAATATTAAATAAAGTATTTAATATAATTATATTAGTTATTAATAATAAATAATTTTTAATTAATAAACATACATTTCAAGCTATTCGATCTAAGGTTGTGTTACAAAACTGACATGTCAAAATTGCTGAATTTGCAGAAAATGAAGACGAATTGTTTTCAGATGTGCAAACCTGGTTCGACATATGCAAAAGTTTGAACTGCGCCTCGGAATACGAGTGTTTCTTGCGAAGACCAGAAAACAATTGTCTTGATTCGTGGTGTACGCACATGCCTGATTGCACGCTCACCATCGGTGCGTTCGTGATAAAGTGACAAAACAACGCTCACGAGAATAGCGACTTGATTGCTTTATCTTTTATAATTTATTTATCAATGTTACATTCATTTATTGTAGAGGACGAACTAATCAGCAAGTATTGCTACGGCTGGATCTGCCCACCAGCGCAGAAGTGCACCGTGCGGATTGTAGATTCGTGCAAGGGTTTTAATTGCACCATCGAGCGATCATGTCGCGCATCTTCAGTCTCGACTCAACACAACACAAGCAGCGAGGTTACTTGTTTTTTTAATTTAAAGCGTCGCTGTGGAAGGTGCAAGATTTGCTGTTAATTCATAGAAACAAATTAGCGTGCAAAAAGAGTTTATAAAGAATATTATACAATCAAATTAACTCTCATTTTTCCTTTGTACTTATTTCGCCGACGATCGGATTTTCCGTCGAAACAAATCCGCGAGTTCACTAAAAATAGACTAAGGAGATTTTAACAGAAACAAATGTAGGTCGCTGAGCAACCCACGGCTAGAAAAACCTTGGTGCAAACCGAGAGGGAGCTGATTCGCCAGGAGCTGGAGAAAAGAACGAACACGCAGACGAGTTATCCAATCACGGAGAAAAAGGTGGAGGATTTTTTTTCTGCGGACGAGTTAAAAATTACAGGGAAATTTAAGCCAAAATGTGAAAGATTCGATTGTGATTTCAGCCGGCTTCGCCAGTGACTTCAACGCGGAGACAAAGTATCCGCTATACAACGCCTGCGTAAGTTGGGGATTTTTTTAAGTTAATGTTAATCAGTATTTCAAGAATACGAGATATACGATTATTCTGCACATTATTATACGTTTGTCGTGTATTTCTTTGTGCAGAACGCAAGAGACGGAAGTTTCGTTGACTCGTCAGCAAATCGCAACAACGAAATCAAATTTGATCACAGAATCTTTGCGATCATCAACAAGCGAACCATATTTGACGTCGCCTTATTCTCGAACTCGATTGAATAATTACGATAAATCCCCTACAATCGACGAAGGCAAAGTTTCCCAGGTATTAAATAAATATTGATTCTTGGGATCGACTGCTTGAACATCGAAATCCACTTTCCGTTTACTATATCACTCCTGCAGAATTTTTTGACTAAGAGTTCAGTCATTCCGGCAACTGTGCCCGCTGATGGGAAAGCCGAGCCAGATACGTCGCGTGACACGGAGAGATTAGAAGCGCCGAGGAAGATCTACATAGCGGCCGACGACGACGCGTTGCCCCTTCCCATTATGTTGGAGGACATTAACTTCTTTGAGCAAGGTTATCCGATCTGGATAAAGAACGATCCGTATCGTTCGTGGGAAGTGAAGGACGAAGACGGATGGAGATACCGCGAGCCGCAAGAACCGTACAAGATTTTATTGCCGCCGTACGAGCCGGTGATCCTCGTCAAAGATACGAGGAAACGAGGACAATTTCTACCATTCTTCACCGACGCATTCTTCACTGACCTTTTTAACGAGGCGGCCTTAATACCTCTGCCAGAAATAACATCTGCAGGTATTACGTTAGTTGGAATTATATTCTGATTAGCGAATAATACATCGCGCGGGAGACCTAAGGATTTGAGTTGAAAAATATTCGTCTCGCTATTACCATAAAATCCCGTAAAGGCGAATTCATGAGGCACAGTTTAGAACTAATTTTTCTTCTACAAAAATCTCATTCCGAAAGTGATGAATCGTTTTTTGTAAGTTTTCTAACTTTGACGTACTGCGTAACCTTATAATTAAATCTTATCTCAAATTTAAATTATGCGCGACAGTAGAGTCTACTTAAAAATAAAGTTAATTAAAGAATATGATTTAGTTGGGGTTTAGTTCGTGAAAAAAATTTTTACTAGCGAGATAGTTAATTATTAAAAAAAAATGGATATACTGCATTCTGTATATAATCAAGTCATTCGATTTTTTTTGATCCGGATTTATTTGAATTATTCAAGTAACACGTGTTATTCATATCTTCTCTCTAATTCTTTGTATAAATGTTACTATATTTTAGACATCGGAAATTCGAAGACGGATAGTACCCTTTGACTATATAACTATGGACTGTGGCTAGTCCTCCCCACTTTTACTATGTAAAAGACATATGCCCGGTGTCGCCGAACTGAAGTTGGTTGAGGTATCAAACTTCGAATTTTTAGATTCCACCCCAGTCAGTAAAAAAAATGTCAAATATGTCAAAATGTATTAAATATTACGTTGACAATTGATAGGATAGCCGGAAAAAATCTCAAATGGACGGAAAGAAATTAAAAACATCAACATCTTTCTTTTACACGTTGTAAACACGCTGATTTCACAGGAGCCTTCCCCCTCCCCGCAAAAAATTACTGACTGGGGTAGAGTCTACATCTTCCAGCTTGGCGACATGAAGTTAATTATACCGTCAGTCCATACTTATATAGTCAAAGATAGTACCTCAATTGCAAATGATAAGACTGCCGATTATATAAATGATTCTGCGATTGTCGAGATAGAAAACACCGAGACGAATCGTACCGATGACTCGTCTAACGATCATGCGAGTCTCCCGGTGATGGAAAAAACGATCAGCACTGCTCCGCCGAGTACTACTCGCGACGAAGAACTGGATAATTACTATGACGTGAGTACCGCTTCGCGAAGGATTTCAAACGTTTGTTGTAGTTTCAGAGGATAGAAATTGGTATATGGTAATTGTTCATTGTATTCAAACCGTGCAGAACGAGTGGCGACCGTGGTATGTGATTCACGATCTGGAACGAAATGAGCCGCAATCAAGTCGCGAACACGAATCCAAATCGAGCATCGTTGATCTCGCAACGGATGATTTGTGTAAGAATGATTCTCTAATGTCATATTAGATTGCGTAATGTTAAAACAATAAGTAATGACAAATGTAAAAAAAAAATAAAAATAACTTAATAGTGATTGAACAATTCTGTATGCAAAATAATTTTGAAGCTCTATAATAATACGAAAAGACAGATTTAATTCATTTGTAATAAAATAAAAGAAATTATGTATATGTGAGCAGGGTTGGGAAAGTTGCTTTGTAAAAATAACTAATTACAGTTACAGTTTTTGTCTCTCAAAAAATAACTAGTTGCCGTTACAAGTTACTCTGAAAAGTAACATGTTACAGTTACAGATACTCAAAAAGTAACATTAAACGTAATTAAAAAGTAACGAATCATTACTTTTTAATTACGTTTAATAGAACAACATTAGCATTACAAAAAAAGAGTTACATTTACATATTATATAATTTTATTTAAAAAAGAAAAGTAATGCGCGTATTTAAATGTGAGCATTTAAATATTTCGCATAATTATAATCAACATTACGATTAGGTGATTGAGCGGAAGTGTTGCATAATTTTGATTCATGAAAGTGACGATTTAATACATATAAAGTAACTGTAAAAGTATAACTATTAAATTACTGTTACTGGTTACTGGTTACTTAAACAATCTAAGTTAAGTCACAGTTACACATGGAAAGAAAGTAACGAAGTTAAGTTACAGTTATTGAAAAAAAGCAACTGTAACTGTAACTTTGTTACAAGTAACGAGTTATACTTCCCAACCCTATGTGTGAGTATAACGTCTGACTTCAGTGCAACGTGTTATTGATATTTACAGATAAAAATGATACGTCGGCCGACCCAGAAACGTTCGCGGGAGGCCAAATTACGGACGAGGAGAGGAGCCGAGTTTTTGAAACGCGATACGCAGACGAGCGCAATAAAAATCTTGCGACATTCAGTCCACCTGCTTCAATGGGGCAAAGTGATTACAGCGCGCGGAACGACGAGGGACTCCACGGTCTTGCAAATTACCCTTATGACACTATATCCGTTCACCACATTGGCAAATCGAGTCGCGAATACGAAGAATCGTCTCTGAGGCAAATCTTGGATCTTTCGTTGAACGGGGAAGAAAATACAGGTATGTATTCTTATAAACGACGTCTCTCTCTCTCTCTCGATATCTTTTTATCTCTCATTCTGGATGACTTGTGAAACCGGTTCCGAATTTCGGTTTCAGCGTGATATGCCGATCACGTTTCCTCTCAGCGAATTACTTCGGCAGCCGACGAGCGAACGTCCAGAATGTAATGCTCTCCTACGAGGCACCGCCTCATTACGCCCGTAACAATAATATGAGCGGCCAACGATCGAGCTGAGTGTACGACGAATATTCCAGTCACGAGATAGCTATGACAACATCAGCATCGAAATGACGGGATCGTGATGGGAAACGGTACCGTTCTGATCGAGTGCAAAATTTATGGGTGCTTTTTATTACCTCCTTGTCGTCGCCTTTCCTTTTCCCTTCCACGGCGTGTGATTTTAGAAACGAAATCGTTCGTTTAAATGCTTCCGCGATTATTAGCCCGGGGGTAGAGTAAGCAAATATGTACAATGGCAGCGAGAAATTGCGGTAATTCGCGCACTTTGGAGAACGGCGTGTCTCGGCCGACGTGTGTGTTCGCAGGAAATAAATTTATCCCTCACGAATATCGTTTCTCCTCGCATTTAGATCCGAGTTAACCGAATGTATTCTTACATAGCTTTATAACTTTCGCCCGAATCTGCTGCTCGGATTCAATTGAGAATTTCTTTTGAGCAATGTGTAGTGTATTGAGATAATTAAATTAAATAATTATCCAATTTATTTATTTCTTAATCATTATTTATTTTTTTAATCATTATCAATATTTATGAGATCATATTATTAGAATAGAATATTAAATAGAACGTATGATGGTTTAATCACGACGAACGACTGTCATCGATTTGTAATGACGATAAACCCCGCATCGCAGAATCTTTCTTCGTCATTAAGAGATCTTCAGAAGCGTCCGCTGCATTAATTTAATTAGTGCCTACTCGGTTCCTCCACCGGCACCGTCATCGCGAAATTTCCTTGTGATGCTAACTTAGTCGCACCACGTAAATTCCCGAAACTATGCTCCTGCTCCTGCGAAGCAGAAGAGAGAAGGTAGGAAAGTGGTGGAAGAGTTGTCGAATATTACCACGGCGATGGGGAATGGTACCGGTCTAGTCGGCCGTTGATCGCGGTACCGCGAGCTACGCTATACTCTCTCGTGCGTCTTTTCCGCGCAGTGTGCTGCGGGCTGTCCCCAGTCGAGCAATTATCTTTCGAAGGATACGGGGTGACCATCCTTGAGAGGTGAGTTCTTCGCCTCTCTTCTCCTTTACTCTTGGTACTTGATGTAAGAACTGTCAGACCTTGAAACCGGTGTAATTTCGGCGAGTCGAGATTTGTTGTACAAAACGTGATTTCTGTGTCTCTTTACTCGCGATAGTGAAACCGAGACGATTGATACGAAAAATCTGTTTTCATATTTATGAAACATAAACATAAATTATTATTAGGATTTAATTATTAATTAATTTTTTATTATTATTAAGAGAAAGAGAGAGAAGGAAGGAGGAGGGAAGACGGAATTAGTTATTTCAAATTAATTAGATAATTCAAACAATTAGATCAATTAGACAGATTTTCCTTTTAGTTTTACGAATTAATTAATTAATTAATTTTGATTAATGTTTTTACATAGAAACAGTCGTATAAAATAAAATAATATAAAATAAATATGAAATATAAAATAAAATAATATTTTAAGTTAAATAAATGCTTAAGCTTAAGATCAATTCTTCGAGTGTAAGTAATACTTATTAAAAATTCTGATGACTATATATAATTATGTTATGTCGCGCGTACACGTGTGAGAAATATGAAAATTTCTGTTAGCGGATTAATCGAAAAGCATCAACCGGAATAAGAAACGTCATATGAATGTCTCATAAAATACGTGCACCTATAAATATCCCAGATAACCAAGCGTGATTCGTCATATCGAGCAAACTAATGCATTGCTTGAGTTGTTGCATATTTGCCATACATTTGTTGACATTGAAAAACATTACATTACGAATACAGCAACATAACTGCTTATACGTGTAATCAGTTGATGAAATTTCAAGAGCAAACGATGAGCAATAGTGGTACATTATGTTGTCGGCAATATGACAGCAACATGTTTGCAATAAAAAATTACAAGTTTTACCTTGAGCATGATGAAAACATGTCGTTAACAAAACATATGTTATGCTTTCCATTCGTTGTTGTGTATATGTCTTCAAGTTATGAAGTTTTTTAAATTGTAGTTTGTTGTTAACAAAGTTTTGACAATAAAAAGTGTTACATGTTTATGACAACTCTTTGGCAAAAAGATATATAGTTTTTTAGATTTAAATTATATATGAATACTTACAAACCTGCCACTAGATAGCGTTTGTTGATAACTGTTTCTCGCATTTAAAATTTTGTCAAGCACTCTATATAACCAATATCTAATCGAAGTTTAGACATGTCATAATTATTTGTGCACTATTCATATGTGCATTTAGTATGAAATATGAATAATGTTTTTGCAGCAAATAAGCTTGGTATTGTTTTGAAATTAAATTTACAATGCGATATATGCAATTTTTGTTCTAAAACGGAATTTTTATGTAAATATATAAGAGAGATCGGATATGTTTTTCAAATATACTGTTACGTCCGGTGGACTCCACGATTTCTTCGTTTTGTGAACACGCGATAGGATAAATTCTTAAATATAATAACGGCCATCAATCGACAAAATACCTCGACTCAACGAAATTGACCGTTGTCGGTTTCTTTGAGAAGAATTCGGTTTTAGCAAATAGTATAGAACCGAACGTGAGAGATATTTATTACCAAAAACAAATAAGGTATCTCAGTACACAATTTACCCGCGAAGAAAAACCTAAGTTCAGAACGTTTTTTTTGTGTTAAAAGAAAAAGGCTAACAGATAAAACTGTCAACAAGTANGTTTGGGCTGGATTCAT